GAATTCCAACCCTCGCATGGTGTGATTCGCACCCAGCCACAACTGGCTGGGACTGGAGACGGGAGACGGGTGGCTTGTCACCACCGGACACAGTGCGACTGGAGGCCAGGGCTGCCATCTGGAACCCAGTGATGTACAGAACAGCCCCCCTACAAGGGACGATCCTGCTCCCAGAACCAGCAGGGTGGAAGCTGGGGAGCTCCGAGATACAGCTGTGAGCAAGCCGTCATACAAAATGGAGGCACTGGGGAAGTGGTGACAGGTGTTGCTTTTCCAGACCTGGAGATGCAGGAGAAATGCTGGCAAGAACAGCTTTCCTGAGCTAAGGGCCTGTCTGGGGGCTGCTGCCGGTGGGTCACAAGCTGACTTAAGTGCTCCAGGTTGGTTAGGCAAAAAACGTGAAGAAAGAAAGGATGGGGGCGGAGTTTTCCAAGTTTCTTAGGTCGAGACTCTGGATGTGACAGGTGGGCGAGGGGGCTGTGCCCCTGGGCCAGGACCCTGGGTCCCCAAGCCAGGAGAATAACAGGACTTGGAGCAGACTCTGGAGGCGACAGAGACGTCCATGGCAATGATGGTCAAGCTGGCCTCTGCTGTGTGCTAAGTAGGACAGCTCTGTGCGTGGGTCAGAGCTCACTCACTTGCTCAATCATTCATCCCGCTCGTTGAAGGCAGTACAAGTGGGCTGTGAGCAAAGGTGTGTGTGAACACGTGTGCATGGAGAACGAGCAAGGCCAGTAACAAATGTGTGATTTCGTAGAGACACGTAGAGGGCATCAGTGGCAGGGGAGAGGCCCACGTGCGAAAGGGTGTCCCTGGGAAGTGATGCTGAAGCTGTGACCAGAGAACCTGTGACCTGGGGCTCCCCGGCCAGGCAAAGGTGGGTTCCAGGGAACCCAAAGGCTGGATGGGACCCCCACACGCTGCAGACAGCAGTGGATTTCCAAGGAGGGGTTGGAGTTGGGAGTGGGGCTGTGACCATGTTTGTGACACAAGAAAGGATTCCAAATGCTGGGTGAAGGATGGCTCTTGGGCACAAGATGGGGGACCCAGGAGGTGGACCTCGGGGTGGGGACGGGGGAATTGAGATCTTTGTGGGAAACAGAAAACCACCAGCTTCGCCAGGGGTTGGGGGAGGAGGCTGCAGGGGTTGTAGGGTTTTTTTTTTTTTTTGGCCCCAAGTATGGCAGCAGCCTTAATTCTTGTCTCGCAGGAAAGAATTCTCATGTGGACACAGTTTAGTTTTAAAGCAAGATTTATTAGAAAGATAGAGAAAATTGGCTCCCGTCCTAGTGACAGCAGGGGACTTCCATAGTGGCAGAAGGAAGAAAGAAAAAAAAACCAAACTTAAAGATAGGGATAGTGTTTTTTACAAACTTAACTTCAAAGTTTCTCCAAAAACAAAGCAAAATTCCTGGTTTCTCTCCACACAGTACCTGGGTTTAAGACAAAAGGCCCAAAAAGGTGTTACAGGTTAACTGCCTCAGTCTTTGTAAGGATAAAGGGGCCAGTCTGACACTACCCCGCTTGGCAATGGCCCGGAGTGTTGGTGGGGGGCCCACTTTAGACGGGGAGCTGATAGGTCAACGTTGCCTTTGTCTCTTGCAGAAAACTTGTTCTTGATACGTTAAATATTCACTTGTCTCTGGGGAGAAATGTGCTCTGGTGAATTGAAGACTTGGTGGAGAAATCACCATTTTATGTTTGAGAAAAATGACTCTGGGACCCAGAATACCCTAACTGCCTACCACCCAGTCTGACTCTTCACAGGGAGGTGGGGAAGGAGCCAAGGTTGTGCCTCCCGGGAAGCCCCGCTCCCTTCCTTCAGGACCCAGGAGAAGCCGTGACTCGGTCTCCCTCCCTGCCTGGGCTCGTATCCCACCTCTGTGTTGGGCGGATATGGGACCAGCCTGGCCCAGCTGCACACTTCCAAGGCTGAGGTCAGAGCATGCCCGTGTGGGGCCTTGGGCCTGCCCACTCCCTGGCCATCCCTGCATCTCAGGTCTCCTTGACATCAGACTGTAGATGAACCTGACTTCCTCCCTGACCTTTGTAGGAACACTCATGCCTGGGGCGCCGGACAGCTGGGCTAAGCTATGGCTGGCTGCTGCATGGGAGACCCCCAGACCTGCAGTCAGTCGCACACCACCTCACCCTATTTTGGGCTGGGCAAAGCTTTGTCAGAGCCAGGTGTCTGCACCGAGGGCCTGGGATGCCATGGCAACAAAACTCAAGGCTTGACATCCTGCCAGACTAATCCAACCGACAGTTAGGACAATGCTGTCAGGCCCAGGTTCTTGTGAAGGGGAAGACTGAGATGATGCAGGGGGACAGCCAGGAGACATCTGGGGAGGACACAGCAGGAGGAAGGGCTGGGGAGACACAAACGGGGGCCCAAGAGGCAACAGGTGCCCCACTGGAATCCCGCTTTCACCACTGACTGGCTGGAACAAGCTGCTCCCTTTTATTCAGCCTCAGTTTGTTCATCTGCAAAATGGAGTGAATGATGCTTCCTTTAGGTGAGATCTGTAGAGTGTCTGATGGATCCTTGAGTGGTCCCAGGTGGTCCCTGTGGCTCTAGGGAGCCTGGCACCCCCTAATCTCCAGTGAGATGATTATGGACTAAGGGTGGGGGAGGCAGAACAAGAGTCAGCTCCTGGCCACTCTGTGTGACAGACTCCAACGGGCTGATAGCAGTGCTGGTGGGTGGTTGAGGCTGGGACAGCAGCTTCTGGGCCTTATCATTGTTCCGGGACAACAGCAACAGCTGGGCCAGGGGAAGGAGGCAGACTGGAGCTGCTTCCCGAATTATCTTGACCGTGACACCCTGCTGGAGGGAACACAGGCTAGTTTGAAGGACACCAAGATGAGACCACCTCGCACAATGGGGACAGAAAGGGGAGTGTCCATCCCTGGCAGGACGCCATGCCTTGCTCCTGACTTGTCTGTGCACTGGGGGTAGGCTGCACCCGCCTAATCGGGAAGATAAAAGGAGGAAGATCCCATGATATCAAAAGAGGCAGGGAGTGAGGGCCGGGCCGGGGAGCACCGGAACTGGGTTTCAGTGCAAGCTGAGCAATGAGTTGGTGTCTCAGAACCTCAGTTGTCCTTGTCTGTAAAATAGAATGAGCATGGAACCCACCTCAACAAGAAAGATGGCAGGTTGAAGGAGTGGATATGAATACATGGTGTGGCACTTGACAAAGTTGCCCTGCTGTGGGGCTGGGCCTCCTGCACTGCAGCTGTGGTGGCTGCTAGATGTGGCACCTGTCGTTGCAGCTCTGCAGGCCACACACTCACCAGGGGCTTCTTTCTTGGAGCTCAGCGTTTACCTTGGATGCCAGGGGCAGCAAAGGCGCCTCCAGAGCCACTCAGTGCGGGGCAGCCTGCATGCCTGCAGCCCTGGTCAGTCCAGCTCTCCCCAGTGCCCGCAACAGCAGCTCAGGGAACTATTTCCCACTGCCTGGGGTCCTGTGGGGCTTGGCTGGGGTCAGGGAACTGTGACAGGCTGGCTCTGCTTGCAGGAGGGGATTCTGTCCAAGAACAGTAGACACTTGCTTGACCCTCAGCAGCTGGGCAAGCAGTTGGCTGGGTTGCCTGCCTCAGCCTCACAGGAGAGTGTGTATGGAGGGCATGCACCCCATGGCATGGCTGCAGAAAAAGGCACTGGACACACTGGGCACTGCTATGTGTTGAACTGCTGCATACTGGACACTTCTATACATCTGGGTAATATTCAGGCTGGGCACTGCTATATGCTTGGCACTGTACGTGCTTGGCACTGCTACACACCTGGGTAATGTGCACATTGGGCACTACTGCTGGCCTTTTATCTACAATGACCTGTTGAAGGCCTCAGCACCCAGGGAGCAAGTCACAATGTCATCTCAGCCTGCAGATGGGATATGGGGATTCAGGTGTCACTGACAGACCCCAAATCACATGGCCAAGCCACAGTAAGGCAGAGGGGGGTAGAAGACAGCAGAAAGCCACCCTGCTGGATAGGGCAGGTGGAGGAGGAGGAGCAGGGGGACAGGAAGAAGGTCAAAGGCAGGGAGGAAAGAGCTAAGGCCCATCAAGGCCCTCCCGAAGTGCCCCTGGGAGCATGAGGCCAGCCTTCTGCTCTGGCACACACATTCGCAAGTTCTGGGCCTGTCCCGCAATGTACCACAGACCTCAGCTTGAACAACAGAATGTTCTGTGCAATTCTCGAGGCTAAGCCAGAGGCCTAGAGGGCTGGCTGCTTTGCAGGCCTCTGCCTGTGTCCACGCTCCCCCTGCAATGGTCCTCTTCCATAGCTGTGTGGGTCCTCACCTCCTCTGGCCCCTGTCTGTGTCTGCGCTCCCCTCCACTCTTGCCACAGTGGTCCTCCACATCTGTGGGTGTCTGTCCTCACTTCCTCTGACCCCTGTCTGTGTCCTCACCTCCTCTTCCATTATGAGGACATCAGTCCCTCCCTGGTGGCCTTGTCTGTACTTGGTCACCTCTGTCAGGGGTCTGCGTTCAAGGCATGCTACTGTCTTGTGGTTAGGACAGAAGAGGAGGAAGCTGCATGCTCACAGCAGGTGGCAGGACCTCTGGGTGGAGTAGCAGCCTGCACAGCACCCTGGGATTGGGAGAGGGGGCGGGGACAGTGAGTGCTGGTGCCCTGCCTGGCACTATGGACACTCACTGTATCCTTGCTGCATTTATCAGGAGAGATGCAACAGTGCTAGGGACCCATGGTGGGCAGCTGGTCTGAATTCATATGGGACCAGGGAGTTCAGAGGCCCCCCGCCTCGAGTGGGGTTCTGGCTTCCAGCTCCCATGTAACCTGTGAGATACCCACGGGGTGGAGGAGAGAAGGGCTCCCTTCCCTTAACACCCCTTACCCCTTGCCACCTGCAGCCTGCATGGTCCTGGATGTGGGTGTGACATCTCTGGCATGCTGTGTGTACCCCCGCTGTTCTCTCTACCCTGCTCCCTCTGAGACCGTCTATTCCTTGCCTTCTTCCCAGAACAGGGTCAGCCGCCATGCAGCTCTTCCTCCTCCTCGTGTGCCTGCTGCTCCTCAGCCCCCAGGGAGCCAGCCTCCGCAGCCGCCACCGCTCCCGGGAGATGAAGAAGAAAGTCAAGGAGGCCCCTGGAGGGGTCATGGCAACCCCCAGCAAGAAGAACTTTGTCTTTGACCTCTACCGGGCCTTGGCTTCCACCGCCCCAGACCAGAACATCTTCTTCTCCCCTTTGAGCGTCTCCACAAGCCTGGCCATGTTGTCCCTGGGGGCGCACTCCAGCACCAAGGCGCAGATCCTCGAGGGCCTGGGCCTTCAACCCAAGGCCCACTCAGAGTCAGAGCAAGAGCAACAGCTGCACCAAGGCTTCCAGAAGCTTTTGCATGAGCTCACACAGTCCAGAGAGGACCTGCAGCTGAACCTTGGCAACGCTCTGTTCGTCGACCCGGAGCTGGTTGTTGAGGACACCTATCTGAATGCCATGAAGACACTGTACCTGGCAGACGTTTTCTCTGCCAACTTCAAGGACCCTGCAGGGGCCCAGAGACAGATTAATGACTATGTGGCCAAGCAGACCAAGGGCAAGATTGTGGACTTGCTCAAGCATCTGGAGAGCTCCAACATCATGGTCATGGTGAATTACATTTTCTTCAAAGGTGAGACTCAAAGGTCCGTTCCTGGGCTTGTGCCATCTCGCCAGCCACTGTCACCAGCAATGCCCAACCCTCCAGTGACTCCCCTCAGGAAAGGGTGGAAATGGAAAGGGGAGGGGATGTCAGAGTGCTCGGGGTGCTCTGTCCCTGCAGAGGAGGGCCTGGTCCCTGTCGTCATACCTCTGGGGGACTCTGCTGCTGCAGCGTGCAAGCTGCCTTTGCAGCATGAGTCCTTCACAGCTACCATGGGGAAGTTGCCAAGGCCATGGGCACACAGAGCAGGGTGATGCTGTCAGCCCAGACCTCTTCCCCCTCCTGCCAACAGGCACCTGCTCCTTTGGCAGGGAGAGCTGACCTCTGCCTTTAACGCCCTGGCGTTTCCAGTGAGCATCATCCCTGCTCTGTTCCCAGCTGCCTCCCATCGGCTGCTAAATCCCTGTGTGTGGAGCAGGGAAGCAAGGGTGAATGAGGAGGGCCAAGGAGGTGTGTTAAATCGTTAGCACCTCGCCGTCCTGTGGTCCTAGCCTGTTACAGCTGCTCTCTCACACAAGTGTGGATCAGGAGGGATTTGGGCAATGGAAGTTTTTCTGGAAGCTAAAAAGTTCAAGGTCAAGGAGCTGGCACTTTCTGTGTCTGGGGAGTGTCCAGACCCTGGGTGTTCCCTACCTGCATGCTTGTCAGGCAGGTGGACCCCAACAGTCCCTCGGATCTCTTGTGTCAGGAGCCCTGGTCCTAACGGTGCCACCCTCATGACCTGGTCACTTCTCAAGACCCCACTTTCTGCCAGTCACCCTGCTGTGGGGGTGGAGGAGGATTTCTAGGTGGGAATGCAGAGGCCAGCCACAAGCACAAGACCAGAGCAGGGCACTTCAAGCTTGTGTGCCAAGCTCTCTTATCCCCTCACTCATGGCTGTGCCCATGACAGCAGGTACAGACAACAGCTGTGCCCCTTGACTGAGTTCAATGCCTAGTTCTGGCACTGGACTCGGGGAGTCAGCTGGTAAGGGCGCAAGTAGTAAGGCCTTACCATTCACATGGGAGACCTGGATGGAGTTCTTGGCTCCTGCCAACCCCTGAGCCCTGTGGATGCAGAAGGGAAACCCCCATGAAATGCCCAGGCTGGTTCCAAGGTCACAGGCACCTGCCCCTGAGTCCGAGGGCTGTGCAGCCCAGGCCCCAGCGCTGCTGAGGCTGCTCAGTTTGGCTGTGTTTGAGGCTTACACGTAGTTTGCTTTCCCCCCTCCATTTTCTCGGCAGCCAAATGGGAGACGAGCTTCAGCCCCAAGTTCACCCAGGAGCAGGACTTCCATGTGAGCTCAGAGACCACTGTGCGGGTGCCTATGATGAGTCGTGAGGACCAATATCTCTACCTCCTGGACCAGAACCTCTCCTGCACAGTGCTGGGGCTCCGTTACCAGGGCAATGCCACTGCTGTCTTCATTCTCCCTGGAGAAGGCAAGATGAGGCAGGTGGAGGACGGGCTGAGTGAGAGAACACTCAGGAAGTGGCTCCGGACGTTCACCAAGAGGTACTGCTGGCCGGGACAACTCTGGGACTGTGGCTTGTGCTCCACCCACACCTCAACCTCATAGCAAGGTGGGGGAAGGTCGGGTGGGAACAATGAGGTTGACTTGCCAGGCTGATGAGAGGCCTCCAAGTCAAAGCCATACCAGGAAGTCACTCCCAGCTGGAGAGACCAGGGCTGGGGCCATATTGCCTGGGATGGTTCCAGGGTGGGCAGTGGCTGATAGGGGACAGTGCAAGTGCAGGGGTTGCATCCTGGGGGAGAACCCCAAGCAGTGGGAAGCCGAGGAGCCTTGCCATGGGTGTGGGCATGGGAAGCCAGTGCTACAGAGTCACCTAACAGCAGGGTCTCAACCCTTGGTAGGCAACTGGAGCTTCACCTCCCGAAGTTCACCATTGAGGGCTCCTACCAACTGGAGAAAGTCCTCCCCAAGCTGGGCATCCAGGAAGTCTTCACTTCCCAAGCTGACCTGTCGGGCATCAGCAGCTACTCCAACATCCAGGTGTCCGAGGTGGGTCCGGATGCTCCTGGGCATTTGCTGTCGGAAGGCCATTCTGTGCCAGCACAGCCCAGCCCATTCTGCTCATTCCATCCCTTTCTTTTATTCTGTCTTCTCTCCCTTGCTCCTTGCCCTCGTGTGTGTGTGTGTGTGTGTGTGTGTGTGTGTGTGTGTGTGTGTGTGTGAGATGTGCATCTGAGCCCCATCCTCCCTCCTGTAGACGGGGGCTCACAGTTCCCCATTAACCCCTCCTTGAGAGTTCACAGGTTCTCAGCTGTGCAGTGAGACTCATGCAGCCAGGTCTGAGCCCAGCCCAGGACAGAGCCACCACTTAATCTGTCACCTGTCTCCCAGGCACATGGGTTCTTTGCCGGTGACGCCCAGAACGGACAGATGCCTCATGGCATGTCCTGAGGGCCTCCCCAGCCCCTGCAGCTTGGTGATGCCTGGTGTCTGTGGGTCTCCTGTCTGCAGATGGTGCACAAAGCCGTGGTGGAGGTGGACGAGTCGGGAACAAGAGCCGCTGCAGCCACAGGGACCAGCTTCATGTTCAGATCAGCCCAAATCAGCGCACCCAAGATCATGTTCAACAGACCCTTCCTTTTGCTCATTGTGGACGATGACAGCAATGTCCTCTTCTTGGGCAGAGTGGCCCAGCCCTGAGGTGGTGGCTTTCCTGAATTGCGCTGGCTCCCACAGTCCAGCCCATCTCCCTGCTTACTCCTGGTGGCTGGCACCTGACGCAGGTCTACTTGGCTAAATGAAATTCTTGCACCGGTGTTGGCTTCCTCTCCGATGATGGCAAGGCAGCAGAGCCTTGGAGAACCCTGGCAAACATTCCACCTTGCCCTCACCTTCCACCAGTGGGGAACAGCACCACTGCCTTGCCCACACTCACATAGCATGTTAGTGGCACCCATGCCCAGAGCACAGGCCTGTGGTGCTGCGTCCGTTAGCACAGAGCTCTGTATGGTGGCGCACAGGGGTGATTCTAGAAAATGAGGATCACTAGCAATTACATACCCAGGCCTAGAACCCACTTGCCAGCAACAGCTGCAGTGTCAACATGGTTTGGGACTAGAATGGGCTCAGTGTCCCAGCCCTAACCTGTTGTGTGACATTGTGAGGATGGACACTCACTGTCCCTCTCTGGACCTTGGTTTCCCTACGTTTACCATGAAGGGTCATGGCAAGGATTCGGTCTGAGGACCCTGGACTCCATTAGCAAGGCTGGGATGTTGCTTGGCATCTCTGAGGTATGGCAGGTTGGAAATGGGCCGGTGCAGGATGGCACTATCCTTGCCCACAGCTACAATGTCATGGGTCAAGCAGCGACGGGCGCACAGAGCCCTTGTATAGATGGTGATGCTGATGCCTAACCTGTGGGTTTGTGTAGAGAATAACAATAAAAGATTTTGCAAACACCGAGTGTCTTTATGGACACAGCTCTGGGAAGGGTGATGGGAACTGCTCTCGCATGTTCCATGTGATGTGCCCAGCCACATTTACCCCTGGAATTGCCCTCAGGGCAGGGATCCTTCACTCACTGCATGTTACAGGCAGGAAGGGCTGGCTCCCTGACTCACCCATGTCAGCATGCTGCCTTACTTCCCAGGAAACAGGCACCAGGCCCTTGGAAGACTTAATGAGCAATCAGTGTCCAGCTGCCCTCCAGTCCGGCCCCGAGCACCTGCCTGCCCGCCTCAGCCTGCATGTCCTTATTCTGCCTCCACCAGGCTGGGCCCAGTGCTTTGACCAAGAGACCATACTGTGCCACTGCAGATGGTGCCCACTGCAGGTAGCAAGCTCATAACATCACAACTGGAACACACTCCCAAAGTGCCTGGCATGAGGCGACTGATCACCCTCACCTCTCAACAAACCAGCGAGGTCTGCCGTTGCCCACATTTTCCAGCCAGTGACAGTGGCTGCCATGTGGCAGGGCAGGTGGCTGTGACCCCACGGTTTGTGTTTGTACCACAGGCCCTGGGGCAGCTCCTTCAGGTTCAGCCTCTTGCTGTGGCCTCTACTCCCTTGAGCCTTTTTCTTGTGCAAGACCCAGGCTGCCTTGGGAAATCTTTTGAGCCCTGTTTACCCAGCCAGTCCAAGGCCAGTGGGGGAGGCTTTGCCGTGCCACGTAACAGGCCAAAGTCCATCCCTGTTCAAAGCTCACAGGGTCAACTGTTATGTGGCTGCTGTGCAGTGGGGTCCAGGTGGGCTCCGAGATGCAGTGTCACTGCTGTGTGTCACATGTCAGCCCATTTTCTCCCTCGCTCAACCATCATGTGACCCCGGGATGCATCGGGAGAAAGAATGATATTGGTAGGGTCCAGGGAAAGTTTATAAGAAAGAGAAGACATGGAGCAGGGGGTGCGGTTGGGGACTATTGCAGAGGGCAGGCTAGGGATGGGGTGGCACCTCCAGGTGGAGAGGCATTTCAGGAGGGGCCTGGGTGTGGACACTGAGCTCAGTCTGGACCAGGATAAGGGCAGGAAGGAGAGCAAGGGGCAGGGGACTTGTGCCGCCAGCTGTGACCGAGCCCTGGACACATGGCTGGGGCTGTTGGCTTTCTTCAGGACTTGAGAGCAGGTTGATTGTCCACCCCACATCCTGTGTGCATATCCCCTGGACACCTTCCTGTCCCTGGCTGCCCTATCTGCATGTGAGCAGGTGCCTTCCCTCAACCCCCTAGTGGACACCCACGCCTGCTGGAGCAAGGGCTCCATAGAGCACAGCAGGACTGGACTGCACCCTGAGGCTCCCAAGCTTTGCCACAGAAATGCCTTTGCCCCCAGTCCTTGGGGCTGCCAGTTAAGCTCAAGGTTTCCTCAGGACTTGTCTACTTGGCTGCCTTCTCCCTTGCCCTTGCTTGGACTTATCATGTGTGGCTGTGTCCTCACACTTCCTTCTTAGAAGGAGGCTGATCTTGTTGGAAGGAGCAGAGCTCACCCTCATGACTTCCTCTTAAGTTAGTCCAGCTCCAAATGGATTTCAACCTACTAATCTGGGGGCTAGGCATGAGATTTGGCCCATTAGGGCCACTGCAGCCTATCTAGTTCCTGAAGCCCTGGCCGAATCCCTTCTTGCTTCTGGAAAACCCACTCTGAGTCCTCTTTCTGATCACAGCTATTTTGGGGATCTTCTCACGAGATAGAGCAGGTGAAGCGAAGCATGATGGTGGACTAGGACCCAGACCCGGCTCCCATCTCTCCCCGGCCAAGACCCACATGAGAACAAATGATCTCGGCCATCCAGGAAGCACTCCCAGCCTGCACTTGATGGTGGGGCTTGGCTGACTCACTAGTCCACAGACTTACACAGGCCTACGAGGACCAGGCAGGGCGCTGGAGTGAGGACCGGGTTGTGAGCTCAGCACACACAGCCTGAACTGTTACCAGGAGCCTACCAGCCTGCGGCTGCTCACTTGGTCTGCAGAGCTGTGTTGCCCACTCCAGGCACTGGAGACAAACATAGCAAAAGGAAGTCCCCGTTCACATGCATCTGGCATCTGGCGTGCAGACGGGAGCCTAAAAGGAGTAAAGGTTAAAATAAGAGAGTTACCTAGCACCTGGTGCCAGGGCAGGGGACTGACCTTGGAGAATGGGGCACAGGGTATGGAGAATGGCGGCACTTCAGTGGAGAGACCTGACAGAAGCCACCTTGGCCAGGGGAGCCAGTGTCACCATAGCTATGGCCATCCTGGGCCCAGGTGGGTGCTCTGTGTCATTTGGCCATCCTGGGCCCGGGTAGGTGCTCTGCGTCACCCTGGGGATGAGGTCGGCCCAGCCACAAGGAAGCAGGAATGACAGCCAGGTAGGGAAACAGTGACATACATTTTTTAAGATGTACTGGGGGTAACTAGAAGCAGTCTTGAAGGAGACAGGCACAAAGTGGAAAAGCTGGCAAAATCCAAATAGGTCTGGGTGGTTCCCTTCTGGGTCTTAGAAAATAAATCTCCATGGTTCCGTGAGATGTCCATGTTGTGGCTGAGGACGCCGAGTGGACACAACCTGCCCGTGTGTCCTGCCGTGCTGTGGGAGTGACTGGGATATCTGAGATCTTGGGGTTGTTTCCAGGCTTAGGATACCTGCTGGGGGAAGACTGTGAGCTCCCTCCCCATCCTCCCCACGGCAGTCTTCCCTCTGATCAACCGTGTTTGTGGGCTTATTAAAGATGCATAGTTGTGGGGACAGGCCTCTGCTGTAGTGATTAAGATGACTGTTGAGACGCCTGCATCCCGGGTCAGAGCCACAAGGCACAGCCTGGGAGGCTGCAGCAATGGCTCAAGAAGCTGGCTCCTTGCCACTCCTATATGGAGACCTGGTTGAGGTCCCAGCTCCCAGTGGGAGCACTGCTTGCCCCTCCCCCATGTGGGCTCTTGGGGATGTACCAGTGGTTGACAGAGCTCCTTCTGCATCTGCCTCGTAGGTAAATAAATAAGACATTTTTTAAGATGCAGATTTGGACCCTGACCTAAGGAAAGACGGTGGCTAGGCTATGGGCCTGTACTTCCCACTCGTCTCGTCACGGTGGCAGTCCTGAACATGGTGAGCGATTGACAGCCACTGATGAGGCTGAGGCCTCAGAGATGTCCACTGCCAGGGCTTCCCTTGAGGCTGTGTCAGGCATGAGAAGTCAGTCCCTTGGTTACAGGAGCACCGGAAACATGAAAGAGCACCCCAGGTGAGACCTGATTGCGGTGATTGCTACCAACAGGGGGTACCCCAGGACTCTGACACACCTCCCAGAGTCTTCCCAGGGTGGGCGCAGAACGTGGGCAGTGTCCAGGCCAGGCCTCTCAGCAGGTGCTTCCTTGGCCCTGTTCCCTGCAGCTCCCCAGCCAGGACCAGCACAGGTGTGAGGGGTTCAGAAACCCCTCGTGTGGCCGTGGGAACACGTCTCACCTCTCTGTGCTGTCTCCTCCTGTGTGGCAGAATCCTCCCCTCTGCCTCCATTGGTGTTTGTGAGGACTTGGCGAGCTCTGTTTAAAACAAAAAATGTATTTGAGGCTGACACGGTAGCCCTTCAGGCTAATTCTCTGCCCGCACGGCCAGCATCCAACATCTGTGCCAGTTTGAATCCTGGCTGCCCCACTTCTGATAGAGCTCCTTAACAATGGTCTGTAAAGGCAGCAGAGGGTGGATCAGGCCCTTTGGCCGCTGCGCCCTCATGGGTGGATCGTGGCTGAGGGTGTGTTGCCCTCTCCTTGCAGCCTCCCACTCCCCTGGGCTTCTCCTGCTCTGTACCCATTGAGCCCCCAAAGCACTGCTTCCCCAGGTGCCACCCAGCCCCACAGGGGACCTCAGGCTCTTCCTGGGCTGTTCTGTGGTCTGCCTGCCCTGCATCAGGTGTGATACTTGTCTGGAAGCAGGAAAAGTTAACTGTCCCTGGAACCTAGCACTTGTGAGTCCTGGGTCCTGGCTCCCACCGAAGCAGGTCCCACAGGCAAGGTTACACAGGCCCTGGGGACAGGGACTACCTCCTCCCTTCACCTGTGTGCACCCCTGTAGCCCCCAGATTTTCTGGCCCTTGGAGAGAAGCTCCAGGAGACCTTGTTCCCTGCCTCTCCAAGCCAGGTGCACCTGCCGCTCACACTGCACTGCCCACTTAACCTACAGTTCAGTTGAGGGTGGTGGCAGGTGGGGACAAGTTTGCCTCAAAGCGGAAATGACAATGCACTTTCATGATACACGTGGCTCCACCTTAAAAAGCAGTGTCCCCAGTGTGTAGGATGGTGGGGAATGAGAAAATCTCCCTCTTTAAAAAACAAGGGCAAGCACATAAACAAGAACACCAACGACGCTTGCTGGCGAGGATGCGGGGAAAAGGGAACCCTACTCCACTGCTGGTGGAGCTGCAAATTGGTACAGCCTTTATGGAAATCAGTCTGGAGAACACTCAAACAACTCAAAATCTGCATACCATATGACCCAGCAATAGCACTCCTAGGAATATATCCAAAACACCTGTTTTACGACAAACCAACATGCATCCCTATGTTCATTGCAGCACAATCAGTAATTGCAAAAACATGGAAGCAACCGAAATGCCCATCAGCAGAAGATTGGATAAGAAAGCTTTGGTTCATCTACTCCATGGAATACTACTCAGCTATTAAAAAAAACAAAATGCAGTTCTTTGTGGCTAAATGGGCACAACTGGAAACTATAATGCTAAGGGAAATGAGTGAATCCCAAAAGATTAGATACCACATGTTTGCCTTGATTTAACCTGTAATTTTTTGTTTGGTTGTTGGTTATTTTCTGAACCTGTCATTGATACTGTCTCAACCCAGATGTTTCGAAGAATGGAACTTGCATTATTTTTAACATATTGTCTACCCATTACTATGTCAATTAATTCCATAATGTTGTATATTGACACTGAGGCCTTATTGGGGCTTTTAACTGACCGGATCTCTACTCTGTTAGACCTATCTTCAGACCATAGAAGGTCTCCCCAAGAGGCCACTGAACTTATCTGGACAATAAGACGCTGAACTTTATGCTAGGCATGTGTTTGCAAGCAATGAATCTCAACTGAACTTGAACTATGGTTATGCAACAAGGTGGAGGAATCCACCATGGGGGGAGGGTTATGGGAGGGGTGGGGGGAATCCCCAGTGCCTATAAAACTGTACTACATAATACAATGTAAGCAACAATAAAAAAAAAAAAAAAAAAAAACAAGGGCAAGGCAAACTGTTGAGAATCAGTAGTTTGGCCCTGACTTGGTTGTCCCTAAGCTTCACCCCAACTCCACCCATTAACACTGGGGATGGGAGGGAAACCTGTGCAAATCTCTTACTTCAATGCTGGAAGCAAAATCACCCCTAGGAAACCTCCTTCCTGGCGACTCCACAGACCAAGCCTGGGTGATAAAATATTGGGGAAGGCGGGAAGGAAGGAGAGAGATGAGCAAGCTCACAGGCAGCGGTCCTGCTCATGTTGAGACAGCCATGAGTTGGCCTATTCTGCCTCACCTGGGCCACACCCAGGGTGGACTCTGTTGAGGCTGAATGAATGAATGACAATCTGACCACCTGCCAGGGGCTGCAAGGGTAGAGTTAACTGGTACAGTGCAGAGGGAAGAAGCAGAGAGCTTAGCAGGTCCAGAGGCCTTGGAGGGCAGGGGCAGGAGGCAGAGAGCAGCCAGGAATGCCACCCCCTGAGACAAGCAGGAAGAGTCAGGATCAGCCCAGGCTGTATCCTCATCTCTCCAAGAATGGGAGGTCTGACAGCACTGCTGCCTAGGACACGTTGTCATACGCGAGGCACAGAGCCCAGGGTAGAACTCCCACAGCAGCACAGCAAAGTGGGACCTGTTACAGCCTGCTGCCATTTGCCCCGGCACAGGTTAGTCAGGCCTCAGCATGACTGGCAGGCCATGCAGCACAGGCTCCTCCAGATGCCTGCTGCCTGCTTGTGGGTGACCCATGTGAATGACATGGCATGCAGCTATGCCAAGTTGCCAGGCTCACGCTCTGGCTGCCAGGTGTACACAAATCCTCCTGCCAGCTCCAGGAAGTGAGGTGGAAACCAGCAGGGTGTTTTCTGTCCTACTTGTGGAAGGGCAGTGTGCCGAGAGAGACTCTGAAGTTCAATCAAGAGCCACACTGAAGCCCCGCTCCTTGCGGGACTCCCTGGGCTTTTACATAAAGCATACAGACCCAGGCACTCCAGTGCTGCACAAGGACATCCCAGCTGGGTGTTGGAAGGGTGAAAGTGGGCCAGTGAGTTTGCGTTTCTCACCAGCTTCCCCCAGGTGCATGTGGCCCCTGGGCAACCCTGCGAGTAAAGTGAGGGTGAGGACACAGGGCATTTCTTCAACACCACACACTCCTAAGTTCCTTCTCACTTCCTCTGCTCAGCTCAGAAGCATCCAAGTAGCTTGCTTTGTTAGACCCGGAACTCCGCCTCCTGGAAATTGCCGTCAGACTGTTTTCAGCCAGAGAAAACAGTACTTGGTTGACCCAATGTTTCCTAATCCAGGGGGCAGAGTTCACTGTCAGGACAGATAAGAGCTGGACCCCAGGCAAAGCCAGCAGTCCCATCAGGTGCCTTGGGACTCTTTCAGCGCCTGGGGCTCTTACAACAGGTAAGCCATGCCAGAGCTGGGAGATGCTGGGGTTATGGGCTATGGTGCGGAGCTTATAGTCTGTGTGGGGTGGGGTTAGCCTGGAGGAGTTGGGCTCAGAGCCACATGGCTTGGTGGCAAGGGCAATTCTGGGGCTGCCACCAAGTGTGTTACACTTTTCCAAAGAAACAGTCCCATCAACACGATTGTAAACAGGCAGCTGGCCAGGAGCTGCCCTGTCCTACGCGATGTTCCTACTGACCTCTGAGTATAGATAGCCCTGGACTCCCGCCGGCTGGCTCTCCTGCCCTCCTTTGCTTCTTCCTCCTCTTCTGCTTTCCAGAAGCTGCTGGTATGTAACTATCTCCATGTGCCACAGGCAGGGCTCTGAATGCAGCCCTGTCTCATGCCTCTTCCGCAGCCCCAGCGACCAGGAAGGGAACTGCTTCTCCCCAGAACCCGTTAAAAGCAGACACCTCATTTCACTGAGCCGACAACAGGCACAGGGCTGTCCACTGATGCTCCCAGAGACTCAGGCAACTGTTTGCCACCAAGAGACAAAAACGAAATATCAGACCAGGGTCAAGAGACTGGCTCACTCTGATATTTCCCCCACCAGGTGTGGGAGGGCTGGGGGGATGCAGAAGGAAGCAGGCAGAGACTGCAAGAACTGTTTGCCAGCTGAGATCAGGGCCATTCAGCTGCCATCTGGGTCCTCTCTCAAGGAACCTGCCTGCCACCAGGCACCTCCCAGTGAGGGCCGGCCCAGGACCATGTGAACTGCTGAGCAGGGATGGGAGAGGTACCGCAGTGGGACTCGTGCAGGGTCATTTCCCTACTCTGCAGGCTTTTTGGTGGGAGGCGTAGAGAGAATGGAAAATTTAAGGAGAGCGAGCCCCTCATCACGTGGGCAGGGAGGAAGACATCCCAACCTCACAGCTTCAGAACCAAATATCTAGGCAACGCCTGCTGCCACTCTTACTTCCTCCTTTGTGGTATGACCTGGAGAAACCCCGTTTCCTCTGTGTCCGGGTTCCGAATCAGGTATAAACAGGGACAAAACAGTACACACACCTCAAAGAATGAGAGGAAGACCAAAATGCAATGACGTCTATCAGTTTCCAAGAGAAGTGACTCCCAATGGGTGATCACAGAGCCCTGCAGGGTAGCTCTGCATAGTGGCATGTGCACTGGCTGGATGTGATGTAAGGGCTGGTGAGAGGATTCTGGCACCTGCTAGCTCGAGACTGAAGAGGTTTTGTTGCTTTGCAGAGTTCAGAGCAGACACAATGCCAGCCCTCCTGCTGCTGGGGCTCCTCGTGGCCACGCTCTGCCCAGCTGTCCTCTGCCACCCAGTGGCCACAGCTGTCCCTCAGGATGCCCACCGGGAGGACACAGCTGATGCGACACGCCTGGTGGGGCTGGTCTCCAGCAATGCTGACTTTGCCTGCAGCCTCTACAAGCAGCTGGCCTTGCTGAACCAGGACAAGAACATCATCTTCTCCCCACTGAGCATCTCCACTGCCCTGGCCTTCCTGGCCCTGGGGGCCCGTGACTCCACACTCACGGAGCTTCTCCAAGGCCTCAAGTTCAACCTCACTGAGCTGCCCGAGAAGGAAATCCACCAGGGCTTCCGGCAGCTCCTGCTCACCCTGCGCCAGCCCCAAGAGCAGCTACAGCTCAGCCTGGGCAATGCACTGTTTGTTGGCCAGCAGCTGCTTCCGGCCTTCCTGGAGGGCGCCCAGGAGCTGTATGCTGCCGAGGCCTTAGACACCAACTTCCAGGACACAGCCACTGCCAAGAAGCTCATCAATGACCATGTGGCACAGAAAACCGAGAACAAAATTGTGGACCTGATCAAGGACCTTGATCCACAGACCATAATGATGCTGGTAAATTTCATTTTGTTCAAAGGTGAGTGCTCACCTTGGGGTGCTGAGGGGCAGAGACTCGGGGCTCCGAGTATGCAGGACTCTTTCTGATTTGCCTATTGGGGTGGGCTGTGGTGATTGGCAAAAGACTAGAGGGGAGTTGCCCGTTAGTTTCCATCCTCACTGTTACTCCAGCTCTGAGTTCTGCCTTCACAGTGCTTCTTCTCTGTCTGCCCCTCCCGTGTAGGGAGCTCCCCTTTTTTCCCCATTTGCATTCAGAGGCTCCAAAGGCCACTGTCAGAAGGTCCCATCCCTACAAGGCACGTGACTGCAAACACGCTCCTTCCAAATGTCCAGTAACATCTCATTTTTTCCCAGGCTCCAGCCTCCAGCAGGCCTTCGTGCCACTTCAAACACCTGTACCCACCCCTGCCTCTCTCTTGAATCCATGCTCCTAGATTCCTGTTGAATGGTCAGCTAGCCAAGTGCCCAGGTGTTTATTTCATACCAACTGCCTGAACTGCCCTGTATGGCTCACCCTCACACCCTTGGCTTTCCAGTTACCCAGGCAGGTTCTCTGGCTGGCTGTCCATGGGCAGTTGCTGCCACTAATCAGGCATGCAAGCACAGTAGCCCTGCCACTCACCTGGCCTCTCACTGCTTTCTCCACTTATAGCCCACTGGGAAGAGCCCTTCAATCCCAGTGACACCTCCCCGTCCAAGTTCTACTTGAAGAAGGACAAGTGGGTGGATGTGCCCATGATGGAAAAGGAGAGATTCAACACACCCTACTTCCGTGATGACGAGCTGTCCTGCACTGTGGTGCAGCTCAACTATGTGGGCAATGCCAGTGCCTTCTTCATCCTCCCAGATGAGGACAAAATGCAGGAGGTGGAAGCCAACCTGTCGCTGGCAACCCTGAAGCGCTGGAGAGACTCGGTGAAGACTGAGTGAGTACCCTCAGAAGGCAGAGATCTTGCTAGCCACCACCCTCCAGTCCCATTGGACCTTCATCTTAGGGTCTCAGTGGTGGCCAGGGTGTTGGGGCATAGAGGTTGAGTTACTTTGCTGCCTGAGGCTTTGTGTCAAGCTTGGGCATTTGGCATGGACATGGAATCCCACATCCTCCAACAACGTGCCTGGCTTCCTGTCCAGCTCTGCTTCCAGTCCAGCCTCCTGCTAACTCACAATCCCAAAGGCACAGGTGATGCCTCAAGACACAACATCGTTGCCACCCACAAGGGAGAGCTGTTTGATCTCTAAGCTCCTGACTTGAGCCTGACCCAACACGGGCCACTGCTGACATTTGTGGAGTGAGGCAGTGGATACAAGAGCTGTCTCCATTTAGCACTTGATTCCCTTTCACTGTCTGTCTTCCCAAGAAATAGTGTTGTTTTCAAGAGTGGATGGTGTCAGACAGCGCAGGGACCTGAGGCCTTCTCTGGCTCCAGTGTGCTCTGAGTCATGAGGAACCCTGAACACAACACTCAGCTCTCTGGATGGTTGAGCTCGGCTGAGGGAGACAGGAGGACTGTGCTGCACCAAGCGGGAGGAGAGACAGGCTCTGGAGCCAGCTCTGTACCAGCCACTGCACTCATTCATTCTTTCATTCATTCAGCATCTGTTGAGTGACTAATGAGCACCTACTAGGTGCTTGACACTAATTGAGATCCTGAGGACAGCTCAGCCAATGAGACACAATGTTCTCTGCCCTGCGAGCTGGGGAGAGACAAACAACACACACGCCCTAGCCCTGGCCCCGTGGCTGTATGGACACTCACAGATGAGAACAGATGATGGATGTGTTACGGTAGTAGTTGGGACGTGAGGGAGTAAAGCCATGGGGGAAAGGTGAAAGGATTGGACATGATGTGGGGAAACCCACACTGCTAGACGGGAAGAGGCGTGACCTGGGCCGAGCTGACTCCTGTGGTGTCCCTTGTTTCTCAGATGGATCGCTGAACTCCACCTGCCCAAGTTCTCCATCTCCAGTGAGTTTGACCTAGTCGATGTCCTTCCCAAACTGGGCATCAGTGAGGTCTTCACCATTAAGGGTGACTTGTCTGGAATCACAGGGAACAGGAATGTGGTGGTCTCCAAGGTGAGTCTGCAGACACAGAGATGTCCACAACTCACTCCTTCCTTGACTGCTAAGCCAGACAGATATTCAGACAGTCCTTGGTTTGCACCACTATCCTAAGTCACTCATTATCCAACCACACTCCCTGGGGTCCCCCTCAAACTCAAGAGAGTTCCTATCGCCCAGTGCCCTGTCTGGGACATAATGATGCAAGACCCACCATTGGGAGAGTTTGGGCTTAGCATTAGCCATCACCTGCCAGCATCCCACGCTCCTCTATTAACTGTCCATAACAAGCACAATAAAACCCTCTCCTTGAAGTTTTACACCTGTAAAATGAAGGGTTGAGTGTAATGTCCTTTGCTGGAATGTGGTGCGTGCCAGAACTAAGGTAGTCACTGGTAATTATGACAGCTTTAGGACTGGACTTGGACACACGCCTGTTCAGGTCTCACATTTGGTGACTCAGTGACACTAAGACATCACTTGCACCTCTGTCCTCACAGCTGGCCCCTCTCTGCATGGGGACTCTGCAAAGGGAGCACACAGGGGCAGAGAGGCAGGCCAGAGGCTGACCCCGGTATTGGGCCAGGCAGCTGCTTTACTGCAACCCATCCTGACCCTGTTAAGCTATGTTCTCCTGTCCCTTACAGGCAGTCCACAAGGCTGTGCTTGATGTTGCTGAGAACGGCACTGAGGCAGCTGCCGCCACTGCAGTTGGGGTTATGCTAACATCTATAGCAATGGGCACCACTGTGCGTTTCGACCGGCCCTTCCTGGTAGCTGTCGTCTCCACTGACCCGCCAAGTATTCTCTTTCTGAGCAAAGTCACCAACCCATTGCAAGCCTAGAGCTCCTTGCTGGATGTCAGGAAGCTGTGGACTGTCAGGCCCAGCTGTGACTGAGTGTCCCTGGGAAGGTGACAGCCACCTCTAGCAGCACGGATCCATGTGCACTGATAGCCCATGGATAGCTCTTTCCAGAGGTTTTGTGGTCATCTAAGAGCAATAAAGCCTTTGGTGGATTGGATGCTTCCCTATGCCTGCCCGCGCACACATACTTGCCACTGCCTGTGTCCTAAAACTCACTTTACCTCCACCCTTCCAGGCTCTGCCCTCAGCATCAGCAGCCTGACAAAAGCCCCCCAACTGATGGCCCAACTCACCTGGGACTCGGCCCTGGGCCTAGGACGGAACCCTTCTATCCTAAGGCTTGTTGTTGCCCCCTTGATTTGAATGGATGCTTTTTCTTGCCCAAATCATCTGCTCTGACACCTGCTGCACAGGGCTCCTGGCCCTGGTGCATGTGGCAGAACCCTGGGAGCCCATGCTACTGCTGTTGCTAGGGTATGTGTGTGTGTGTGTGTGTGTGTGTGTGTGTGTGTGTGTGTGTGTGTGTGGTGTGTTGGGAGGGAAATGTGTTGTGGTGGGAACCACAGGCTGGTAGCCCACAGTGTCCCCTGTGGGAAAGTCTTCCTCCTGACTAGGAGCTTTTCCCTGCAGACAGATGTAGCCATGGGAGACACAAGCAATAAATGAGTTCCTGCAGTAAAAGCAAGTACATGGTACCCCCTCAGCAGCTGGTGCCTGTTTTAATTAGCCCATTGTAGAGATGAAGAAACCGAGGTAGTGAACTTGCTTTTTTCCCAGGCTGCACACTCACCAGCTGGTTATCACTGCAGCCTGCATGGTGCCAGAGGAGCCCTCTTAACCCCATAGTCACTCTGCCCCTGAAGAGGTCCACAGCAATTGGCCTGCAGGGCACTGACCATTACCTGAGCTGTTAGATCTGAGATGAGGCTCTGGAAGCTGCTTGGCTAGTCCAGCTCAGTGTAGGAAGGCTTCCTGGAGGAGCTGACTGCTGGGCTGTGCTCAGGAGAGGAACAGAAAGGGGTCAGGTGAAGGAGTTGGTGAATGTTGCAGGCAGAAGGGACAGGGCAGTGTTCACAGAGGACAGAGAGAAGCTGGGTGGCCTCAGGGTTCACGGGACAGGGTCTGTGGGAAAGAGGGGTCTGGGTTGGGGCAGGAGAAAAGAGAGGTGCTGGAATGCCTGGACCCTGATAAGCACAGGGGAAAGGCTCCCTGCGTGTAAGAATGGTGCGAGCAGATTCACACTCTCAAGGTTAGCAGGTGGGGCCATGGGCCAAGGCAGCACCTGCAGCACCTATCCCATATGGAGTTCAGCTGCTCTGTTTTCAATCCATACCCTTCCAATCAGCTGAGGAGAGCACCTGGAGGCACCCCAGTTCTTGGTCCCTGTCACTCATGTGGCACATCACGGCAGAGGTGCAGGCTCATGGATTCAGCTTTCCTGGATTCAATCAGAAGATGGAAGACGTGTGTGTGTGAGAGAGAGAGTGAGAGATTCTGCCTTTCAAATGAATAAACCACGGAAGGATGAAAGAGACAATGAAGGGGAGCTGGTGAGGGCAATGGGGCAGATGCGTATTATGGGGCAACCGGAGGGCACTGCCACAGGGAGCCTGGGCTGGGGAGGCACGGTGCAGGTGCAGGCAGCTCTGACCAAGAGACAAGCTTGAGTTCTGGGGGAGAGGAGAGGGAAATCTGCCCCCACAGGGAGGAGTGGTTCACAGGAGATTGGAGAGAAAGAAATAGCATTGGGGAGGGCACTCAGGGGTTCCCACAGGTTGTATCAGGAATGAGATGTTACTCCCGAGGAAACACATGGACACGCAGGTTAAAACCTGAGTGCTATGGCTGCTACCACCAGGGGCAGCACAAGACTTTCACACACCTTCCAGGACCCTCCTATGGTGGGGCACAGAGCATGGGCCTTGGCCAGGCCAGGTCCCTGGGTAGGTGCCTCCTAGTTCATGACTGTGATTCCATTGAGGACCAACACAAATCTGCTGGTGAGGGGCTCAGAACCTCGCTGTGTGGCCACAGCAATGCACCTCACCTCTCTGTGCTGTCTCCCTCCTGTGGATAGAATCACACCCTCTGCCTCTATGGGTGTTCGTGAGGATTTGGTGAGGTTCTTTTTTTCTTTTAAAAAAGACTTCTTTGGTGCTATGTGAAAGCTCCTCAGGCTGAATCTCTGCCTGCAGCCCCAGCATGCCTTTGGGTGCCATTTGAGCCTGTGGTGCTCCACTTCCCTGTGTCCAGCTCCCTGATGCCCTTGGGCAGTCCCGAGGAAGCTGCTCTTCCTGCCTGAGGGGTACCCTCCCTCCCCGGGGGCTCCCTCCTGCCTGGGCTCCTCCTGATCTGCCCCCAGTGAGCCCCAATAGCACTGCTTTCCCAGACGCCACCCCAGCTCTGGGTTGACCCAAGCTTCTTCCCAGCGGCTCCTGGGCCCCATGCCTTGCATCGGAGGTGACATTTGTCAGGAAGCAAGGGAATGAATTCTCCCTGGATCCAGCTCTTTGGAGTTCTGGGTCCTTGAGCCCCTTTTAGACAAGTACCAGGAGATGAAAGACAATTTTGTCTCTCCTTATCTCTGTGAATCCTCCTTTCCAGCAAAAATAAATAAATCTTATTAAAAACAAAAAAAAAAAAAAAGAGAGAGAGAGAGCAAGGCAAGGAGGAGAGTCAGGGGTTTGGCCCTGGCTTGGTTGTCCCCAACTCCATCAGTTACCATTTGGGGTGGGAGAGAGAGCTGGGAAAGTCTCTTGTTTTGATACAGGAAGAAAGATGGCCAGTAGGGAACCAACTTCCTGGGTTGGCTGATAAAACATTGGGGAAGGCGGGAAGGAAGGAGAGAGATGAGCAAGCTCACAGGCAGCAGCCCTGCTCATGTTGGGACAGCCATGAGTTGGCCTATTCTGCCTCACCTGGGCCACACCCAGGGTGGACTCTGTTGAGGCTGAATGAATGAATGACAATCTGGCCACCTGCCAGGGGCTGCAAGGGTAGAGTTAACTGGTACAGTGCAGAGGGAAGAAGCAGAGAGCTTAGCAGGTCCAGAGGCCTTGGAGGGCAGGGGCAGGAGGCAGAGAGCAGCCAGGAATGCCACCCCCTGAGACAAGCAGGAAGAGTCAGGATCAGCCCAGGCTGTATCCTCATCTCTCCAAGAACGGGAGGTCTGATAGCACTGCTGCCTAGGACACGTTGTCATACGCGAGGCACAGAGCCCAGGGTAGAACTCCCACAGCAGCACAGCAAAGTGGGACCTGCCACAGCCAAAGGCCATCTGCCCCCGGCAGCTTGGCCAGGCCAGAAGTAATGATGTGAACCTGACCTAGAAGTGTGCACCTATTAGGGTCTCTGTGGCGGTGTGGAAGATATGAAGGTGTGAAGAGAACTGTTCCATTGCAGGCAAGACCGCAAGGAGTTTCCCATTGCATGGCAAGGCCCAGTGGATGTCTCTGCATCCACCTGAGCACATTTCCACCTCCCTTTGCATGGACACCGGACAAGCCCACTGAGATTTCTGTATCTGTTTAGTCATTGTCTGCCACTGCAGAGTTGGTCTTTACTATCAATGTGAGCTTGGAAGTTGATGTTGTTGATAACATCTTAGCAAAAGGGTCTTTCACTATTCAGGCTGGCCCCATTGAGCACATGCTAACCAAGGTTGTCAAGTCCCCAGGTATAGTGTGAGTCTATTCTTTCCCTCTTTCCTTGATCTTTAGGCTCCTTCTTCTGTGATGCGTTTCCTTCCTTAACTGATTCAAGACTAAGTTGCAGAATGAGGATTATAGCAGCAATGTGTTACTGATTGATCCGTGCCGTCTATTGAGAACTTCCTGACCACAGGATTAGGATGGCTGATATCCTGCCTCAAGGTGAAACAATTGACAGAACTATCCTTAGGAATGCCAGCTTGACCAGGTGTGAAGTCTGTGCTAGCTTTTGTGACGGCTTCTTTTTAAATAAAGCAGATGGCTTTCTCGTATGGTCCATTATGATCCTGAAATTGTAGTGGTCCGTTTCTTTTCTACACCTACTCCACACACCCTTCTCGAGTTCCAAACTCGGCTGGAGCTGGACTCTGGCACGCACCTGTCCATTCATTTCTGTGTCTGAGTGCTTCCTGGCAGTGCTAAGGGGGTTCATTGCCCAGGGAGTGGGCAAATGTAGCCCACTGAACAAATCCTACTCAGGGGCCCTTCCTGTCCTCACAAGCTAGTGATAATTTGGGTTGTGTTTCTGAAATATGGTGAAGGAGCAGGAAGGCACACAGCCCACATATGCCCAGACATGCCCTTCTCACTTATGCTGGGACTCTGGGCTTTGCAGAAAGCATTCAGGCCCCTGGATTGTGGAGCCTGCTCATGCTGCTAAGGGAATCTGTCCTGAAGCCACAGGGTCAGTGTCGTCTGGAGAACAGGGTCACTCCTGGCTCTGCCCACTGCTGGATGCCAGTCTGGCTTGGACTGATCTAGGAAAATCTGTGGGACACAGGATGGCATAAAGGCAGACACGGATTTCACAAAGCCCACATATATATGAGGATACAGACAAAAGCGGGCACTACTTGGAAGTCGATGCATGGCACTTTGCCCTAGGCCCTGGCTGTGCTAAGAGGAAAAAAATCCCTCCTGTGCTGGCTAGAAAATATTACCAAATAGAGAACAGTCACAGAAGTGAGTGGACAGGCGTGCGCCTCTGGATCGGGCACACATCACAGCTTGGGCCCACGCACCACACATGGGGAACGAGGCCTCTGAGTGCATCTCAATGGAAATCTTCCTGATGGGAGTCTCTCTCAGCAGCATGCTGCTGTTCCCCGGGGAGGACAGAGAACACCTGCTGATTTCCACCTTGCTTCCTGCAGCTGGCAGGAAGATTTGTGTACACCTGGCAGCCAGAGTGTGCCACCATGATGCATGCCATGCCATTCAGCTGGGTAACCCAGAGGCAGGCACATGCTTCTAGAAGAGGCTGGGCTGTGTGACCAGTCCTGCTTAGGCTCAGCCAAGCTGGCCTGTGGCATTGCCTTTGTGTAGCTTCCACATCTTTCTCCTTTCTTCCCCTCCACCCCCCAGCCCCTGAGGTTTTATCAGCCAGCCTTCTTCTGTGTGTCAGCCTCCAGGAAGGGGTTTCTCTGGAGGGACTCTCGCTTGCAGCATCAAAGCAAGGGTCTTTCCCAGGTACCACCCCATGCCCAGGTGACGATTGGGAAAATCAAGCTAAGGCCAAACCCACGACTCTCACCATTGTGCACGGCTCTTTGTATTCAATGTAAGGGTCTTTTCTCTTTATTAGAAAGGTAGATTTACAGAGAGAAGCAGACACAGAGGAACACCTTCCATCTGCTGGTTCACTCCTCAAATGATCGCAACAGTCAAATCACGAGACACGACCAGGAACCTGGAGCTTCTTCCTGAATGACCATGTGCTCCCAAGGCTTTGGTCCATCCTCTTCTGTTTTCTTGGGCCTCAAGAGGGTTTCTGGATGGGAACTGAGAGTAGCTTGGAGAGGAACCTGTGTCCATGTGGGATCCCAGTACTTGCAAGGGGAGGATTGGCACATTGAGCCCTGGTGAAGGCCCTGTGTCTTGTACTTGTTTCTTAAAGAACAAGGCATTCTCATTCCTTGCCAGTGCTAGATGGATGCGTGTGTCATCTAAGTGGATTGCCCCACTCGGTTCTTCTGGTAGAGCATGAGTGGACACACAGGTGGCACCTGACCAAAGCCTCTTAAGTGGGAGGAGTTTTGGCCTTTGCATTCCTAGCTGGATTGGCCTTCCTCCTTCAGCAAGCCAGGCCCCATGACATCAGGGATGTTGACCGTGTTGCTCTACTCTTGAGAGTTCACCGAGGACGGGCCTCGTGGCAAGGAGGGTAAGCCACAGACCTCGAGGCCAGCATCCTGTATCCCAGCACTGGCTGAAACTGGCTGCTCCATTTCACAGCCAGCCTCCTAAGAGTGCACTCTTTTTTCAAATTTTAGGTTTATCTGAGAGGCAATTTACAAAGAGATAGAAGGAGAGTCAGAGAATTGGATCTTCCAGCTGCTGGTTCACTCCCCAGTGGGCCTCAATAGCCAAAGCTGAACTGATCATAACCCAGGAACCAGAAGCTTCCTCCAGGTCTCCCATATGGGTTCATGGGCCCAAGGACCTGACCATCCTCAGCTACCTTCCCAGAGCATAGACAGGGACCTGGACAGAATGTGGAGCCGCTGGCACTGAAACTGACATTCGTATGGAATGGTGGTACAGCAGGCAGGCAATTAGCCTGAAGATCTACACCAAATAAACCTTTTTAAACCCTATGTTGGCCCCAAATAAATCTTTTTTTTTTTCTTTTTAAGCAGAGTTCCCCAATTCCTCAAAATACCAAAGCAGGCAGAGGGATTACTTGGTCACGCTGGAGGCGATAGCACAGAGAAGGCAGACTAGTCCCCATGGCCACACAGTGGTTTTCTAAGTCCCTAACCGGCAAGGGCACTGTCATCCCCACAGACTTGTGCTGGTCCTGGCTGTGGGGCCACGGTGACCAGAGACAAGGAGGCAGCTGCTAAGAGGTCCAGCCTGGACACTGTCAATGATCTCTGTCCCACCCTGGGAGGATCCTGGGAGTTGTATTAGAATCCTATGGTGCCCCTTGGCAGAAGCAGTCATGACGCTCGGATCTTACCAGGGGTGCTCCATGTGTTTCAGGTGCTCCTCTAGCCAGGGGGTGACTGCTCACGATGGGCACACCCTGGAAGGTACCCCTGCCTCCCCATCTGCTCCTGTTTCTTTCTCCCAGGCACGGCAGAGATCTAGTCATATGTGGGGGCAGATTTCCCTCTCCTGTCCCCCAGAACTCAAGCTTGTCTCTTGGTCAGAGCTGCCTGCACCTGTACGGTGTCTCCCTAGGCTCTGGCTCCCTGTGGCAGTGCCCTCCAGCTAACCCATAATACACATCTGCCCCATTGCCCTCACCACACTCGCCTTCTCTATTTCTTCCTTCAAAGACTCTTTTGATTTGAAAAGCAGGACTCCACATTCACACATACAGAGAGCAGAGCACTCCACATTCACACAGAAGCAGAGATCTTCCATCTTCTGGTTGAATCCTGCAAAGGCTTCCATGGCTGGAGATGGACCAGGCTGAATCCATGTGCCTGCACCTCTGCCAGGATGTCCCACATGAGTGACAGGGACCAAGAACTGGGGTGCCTCCAGGTGCTCTCCTCAGCTGATTGGAAGGGTATGGATTGAAAACAGAGCAGCTGAACTCCATATGGGATAGGTGCTGCAGGTGCTGCCTTGGCCCATGGCCTCACCTGCTAACCTTGAGAGTGTGAATCTGCTCGCACCATTCTTACACACAGGGAGCCTTTCCCCTGTGCTTATCAGGGTCCAGGCATTCCAGCACCTCTCTTTTCTCCTGCCCCAACCCAGACCCCTCTTTCCCACAGACCCTGTCCCGTGAACCCTGAGGCCACCCAGCTTCTCTCTGTCCTCTGTGAACACTGCCCTGTCCCTTCTGCCTGCAACATTCACCAACTCCTTCACCTGACCCCTTTCTGTTCCTCTCCTGAGCACAGCCCAGCAGTCAGCTCCTCCAGGAAGCCTTCCTACACTGAGCTGGACTAGCCAAGCAGCTTCCAGAGCCTCATCTCATATCTAACAGCTCAGGTAATGGTCAGTGCACTGCAGGCCAATTGCTGTGGACCTCTTCAGGGGCAGAGTGACCATGGGGTTAAGAGGGCTCCTCTGGCACCATGCAGGCTGCAGTGACAACCTAGCTGGTGAGTGTGCAGCCTGGGAAAAAAGCAAGTTCACTACCTCGGTTTCTTCATCTCTACAATGGGCTAATTAAAACAGGCACCAGCTGCTGAGGGGGTACCATGTACTTGTTTTTACTGAAGGAACTCATTTATTGCTCGTGTCTCCCATGGCTACATCTGTCTGCAGGGAAAAGCTCCTAGTCAGGAGGAAGACTTTCCCACAGGGGACACTGTGGGCTACCAGCCTGTGGTTCCCACCACAACACATTTCCCTCCCAACACACACACTGGACAACAGAAGCATGGTCCAGGGCCTGTGCCATACCTGTTCCAGATCAGGGTCCCATATGCCTGAGCAGGTGCCAGAGCAGGTGTGTAGGGGAAGGGAGAGTGTGCAACTTGAACTAGTAAAGCAACAACAAGACTTAGGACAGCAGAATTCCCTCCCGGGCCCAAGGACGAGGTCCAGGTGAGCTGAACCATTAACTCAGGAAGCCCTGGCCAATCCAATGACACTGAGGGCAGAGTCTGGGAGGGTGGAGGGCATTGTGAGTTTTAGAAATACAGATAGCAGCAGGCATGTCTGTGTGGGAGGAAGAGGGAACCGTCCAGTCCACCAAAGGCTTTATTGCTCTTAGATGATCACAAAACTGAAAGGAGCTTTCCTCGGGATCCCTGTGCACATGAAAACCAGCCACTGGAGGTCGCTGTCACATTTCCAAGGACACAGAGCAGCCAAAACCAGGCCCAGAACAGCATCCTGGGACACAGAGGTCTGGCTGGACCCAGGAGCTCAAGCCATGGCTGTGCCTCCTGCCGTCCAGCAGGGAGCTCTAGGCTTGCAAGGGGTTGGTGACTTTGCTCAGAAAGAGGATACTTGGTGGGTTAGTGGAGACGATGGCTATGAGAAAGGGCCGGTCAAAATGCACAGTGGTCCCCAAAGGTAGAGAATCTAGACTAAATGCAAATCCAGTGGCAGCAGCTGCTTCCGTGCCCTTCTCCGCCACATCAAGCACAGCCTTGTGGACTGCCTGTAGGGGACAAGAGAGCGTGATTCACCAGGGATGGAGCTGCAGCAAAGCTCCATGCCGGGGCCCAACACCTGGTGTCATCCACTGGCCTGCTCCTCCCAGCCCCTCATGCAGCTTTGGCAGAGTTCCACGCAAAGAAGAGCAAGCCTTCAGGGAGAGCTGACAGTGATGTCTCAGTGTCATGAAAGTCACCAAATGTGGGACCCAAACAGGCCTGTGTCTGAGTCCAGACCTAAAGCTGTCGTGATTACCTGTCAACACTTTCGGCTTGGCCAGGCACCACATTGGAGTCAAGGACTAACTGTCCCACACCCCCATTTTACAGGTGGGAAGCCTGAGTGGGAGGCCTTTATCTTGCTTGCTCTGGACAGTCAACAGTGGAGTGTGAGATGCTGGGTGCAGATGTCTAATGCTCAGCACATCACTTCCACGCCCCCTGCTGGTAGCTCTTGTATCATCCTATGGCACTTTATGTCCCAGATGGGACACTGGACCAAGAGAACTCTCCTGAGTTGGTGGGGGTCCCAGAGCGGCTGGCGGGGTTACACGCAGCATTAGATATCGGTGTAAACCTAGGGCTTCCTGAACATGTGTCTGCTTTAGCAGTGAAAGTCAGAGGAGGCTGTGCCTGTCCCCAGTTTTGCAACCTCACCTTTGAGATCTTGATGTTCTTCTCCTCTGTGATTCCAGAAAAATTGGCCAGATCGGTGAAGACTTCCCTGATGCCCAGGTGGGGAAGCACGTCTTTCAGGTTGAACTCACTGGAGATGTTGAACTTGGGCAGGTGGAGTTGAGCGATCCATCTGAGAAACAAGGGCCAACACTGGAGTGCAGTATGGTAAAGGACCTGCCTGTCCCCAGCTGGCCATGTGGGTGTTCCCAGTCCCACACCCCACACCTCTCACCTTTCCCCCATGGCTTTACTCCCTCAGGTCCCAACTACTACCGTAACACATCCATCATCTGTTCTCATCTGTGAGTGTCCACACAGCCACGGTGCCAGGGCTAGGGCGTGTGTGTTGTTTGTCTCTCCCCAGCTCGCAGGGCAGAGAACATTGTGTCTCATTGGCTGAGCTGTCCTCAGGATCTCAATTAGTGTCAAGCACCTAGTAGGTGCTCATTAGTCACTCAACAGATGCTGAATGAATGAAAGAATGAATGAGTGCAGTGGGTGGCTGGTACAGAGCTGGCTCCAGAGCCTGTCTCTCTTCCCCCTTGGTGCAGCACAGTCCTCCTGTCTCCCTCAGCCGAGCTCAACCATCCAGAGAGCTGAGTGTTGTGTTCAAGGTTCCTCATGACTCAGAGCACACTGGAGCCAGAGGAGGCCTCAGGTCCCCGCGCTGTCTGACACCATCCACTCTTGAAAACAACACTATTTCTTGGGAAGACAGACAGTGAAAGGGAATCGAGTGATAATTGGAGTCAGCTCTTGTATCCACTGCCTCATTCCACAAATGTCAGCAGTGGCCCGTGTTGGGTCAGGCTCAAGTCAGGAGCTTAGAGATCAAACAGCTCTCCCTTGTGGGTGGCAACAATGTTGTATCTTGAGGCATCACCTGTGCCTTTGGGATTGTGAGTTAGCAGGAGGCTGGACTGGAAGCAGAGCTGGACAGGAAGCCAGGCACGTTGTTAGAGGATGTGGGATTCTGTGTCCATGCCAAATGTCCACACCTTGATCCAAAGCTACTGCAAAGGAACTCCACTCTCCTGTCTGTGCCTCAACATCCAGGTCACCACCGAGACCCTGGGGAGAAGGCGCCAAGGGGCTGGGAGGGAGCTGAAAAGGAGAGCTCTGCCACCTGAGGGCACTCACTCAGTCTGCACCGAGTCTCTCCAGCGCCGCAGGGTCTCCAGCGACAGGCTGGCTTCCACCTCCTGCATTTTGTCCTCATCTGGGAGGATGAAGAAGGCACTGGCGTTGCCCACGTAGTTGAGCTGCACCACAGTGCAGGACAGCTCGTCATCACGGAAGTAGGGTGTGTTGAATCTCTCCTTTTCCATCATGGGCACATCCACCCACTTGTCCTTCTTCAAGTAGAACCTGGACTTGTATGTGAAATCGGGATCGAAGGGATTTTCCCAATGGGCTGAAAAAGAGCAAGCAGTGATAGGTCAGGTGAGTGCCAGGCTCACCTCTGCCAGCATCCCTGAATGGTGACAGCATCCATTAACTCAGAGCCAGCTAGCAGTGATACCTGGATTAGGAGAAACGTTGTGGGTGTGAGAGAAAGCCATGCAGGCCAGGGTTGTTAAGTGGCATGGAATACAGGCATGAGCACTGGGTTATCTGGGGAATGAACAGGCATTGGGCATTGGGATGCTTTCTTGGACTCAGGAAGCAGTAACTGAATCTGCCTGCAGGGGGCACCTGGAAGCCCTGCCTAGCCATCTTTGTGCTCTGTGTTCTTTAATTGGGAATAAGTTTTGTTGGCAAAGGCTTGTTGTGGGCTGTCTGAGCTGTGACAAACCCCGCCCTGCCTGGATGCCCTGCAGACACCAGCATTCCAGGCTGGGCAGAGATGCCCAGGTGAATGAGGGAAAGGGCGGTAGGCCTGCATCTACTGCCCTGTTAGCAGAAGGAGGTGGCTGCTCCTGCCTGCCCTGGAGGGGTCCAGGAGAGAATTCCCTGCCTCTCCTCTCAGAACAGAGCACCCTGATCTGATCAGACATGCCCTGGCACCTCCCAAGGCGGAAGGGCAGTGCAATGATGCAGTTGACGGTTCCTGTACCCTAAGCACAGGCAGCTCCTCTTTAGTCTTTTGCCTTCTGGCACGGCTGGCCAGTGGAAGACAGAATAGAACGTGCCCTGAGAATCTTAATGGCAATAGGGCATCCTGAGGTGAGCACTCACCTTTGAACAAAAGGAAATTTACCAGAACCATCACGGTATCATCGTCAAGGCTGTCAAACAGCTCCACGATTTTGCCCTGGGTTTTCTCAGCCACATGGTCATTGATGAGCTTCTTGGCAGCGTCCAGGTCCTGGAAGTTGGTGTCAAAGGCCTCGGCAGCATACAGCTCCTGGGCGCCCTTCTCGAAGTCCGGAAGCAGCTTCAAGCCAACAAAGAGCGCATTGCCCAGGTTGAGCTGCAGCTGCTCTTGGGGCTGGCGCAGGGTGAGCAGGAGCTGCCGGAAGCCCTGGTGGATTTCCTTCTCGGGCAGCTCAGTGAGGTTGAACTTGAGGCCTTGGAGAAGCTCCGTGAGTGTGGAGCCTCGGGCCCCCAGGGCCAGGAAGGCCAGGGCAGTGGAGATGCTCAGTGGGGAGAAGATGATGTTCTTGTCCTGGTTCAGCAAGGCCAGCTGCTTGTAGAGGCTGCAGGCAAAGTCAGCATTGCTGGAGACCAGCCCCACCAGGCGTGTCGCATCAGCTGTGTCTTCCCGGTGGGCATCCTGAGGGACAGCTGTGGCCACTGGGTGGCAGAGGACAGCTGGGCAGAGCGTGGCCACGAGGAGCCCCAGCAGCAGGAGGGCTGGCATTGTGTCTGCTCTGAACTCTGCAAAGCAACAAAACAGCTTCATGTTTCTAGTGCAGGAGGTGCCAGTGTGCCTCTTGCTGCCTTCTTCCCACACCTACACCCCAGTGCATGGGTCCCCACCCCTTGTGACTTCGTAATTCCCTAGGCGAGATGCCTGTCTGGGGAACTGTGACACATGGTTATATTTGGGCTTCCTCTCCCTCTTTGATGTCTTTGTATGAAATTTTTAAGAAAAGGTTGATTTTATTTTTATAACAATGTCAGATATACAAAGAGCAGGAGAGAAAAAGCAGAAGATCTTCTTTATGATCATTCACTCCCTAAGTGACCATAACCACCAGTGCGGAACTCATCCAAAACTAAAATCCAGGAAATTCCTCCAGGTCTCCAAGAGGTGCTGGGTACCAAGGATTTGGGCCATCCTCAACTGCTTTCCCAGGCCACATGCAGGGAGCTGGATGGATGAGGTGCTGATGGGATTATTGCTGACACCCATACAAGATCCCAGTGTTTTCAAGGTGAGGACTTTAGCTGCTAGTCCACCGCGCCAGGCCAATGTTTATACTGTTATTGTGGCCATTTCTCCTTGTTTCAGAAAGGATCAGGCTTGCTCAAGCTGAGACCACTTACGCGACAAGGAATCATGGATAGCAGCGATGGTTGCCTCTGATTCTGAAATCCCAAAGTTATGAGGTTGAGTGTCATGTCCTCCTCACTCCCGCGTGGTCAGGGATGCCCCTTTCTTTAAGTCTCCTCATCTCTCCACCACTCCCGACATCTTTAGAACCACAGGAAGCAGTGTGCACTGAATCCACCATGGAACCTCTCCCAGCTCTAGTCAACTGGTCACGTGATGCTGGACAGACCATCCCAGGGAGGTATGCTGGGCCAGTCTGGTTTCTTGACAGAAAACCCAGAAGGCAGCTGAGTGTCCCCGATCCAGGCTGGCAGACAGTTCTTACAGCCCCCAACTGGTTCCTTGGCTGCTGTGACACCTCCTTATGCAAGCCCTCAACCCTGATATGGGACATTACAGTGAGTTGTCAGTCTCTGTGCCCAGGGCTGGGATTTCAATTTTGCCACTTGCGGGTGCTGTGTCATGGCAACCAGTTGCCTCAAGCTAGTGAGCCTCACCAGCCAGCCCTGTGCCTGTTGAGCAGCTCAGTGAATGAGGGATGGTGGTGTCTGTTCCTAATAGATTCTGGAGGAAGCAGCTCCAACCAAGCCCTGGAGCAGTGGCACAGGAAGCCTGAGGCAGGGACTGTGTCAAGAGAAGGGCCTGTGGCACCTGCGGTTAGCTATTTATTGGAAGTTCCCATTAAGAAGAAGAGGAGGAAGAAGAGGGCAGGAGAGCTGGTGGTTTTCAGGGCTGTCTCTGCCTGGAGGCCAGGAGGACCATCGCTCAGGACAGGGCAGCTCCTGGTCCAGCTGCTTCTCTATAAGCAGGTTGATGTGACCACATCTTTGGAAAGGTGTAGCATACTCAGTGGCAGCCCCAGGACTGCCTCTTGCCACCAGCTCTGGGCCCTGAACCTGGTTCCTCAATTCCTGCGCCATCGCTCTCAGGACATAAGCCCAGAGTCACAGCCTAGAACCCCAACAGCCCCCAAATCCCAGGGAGACTCACCTGCTCTGGGCCCACAGCACTGAGAGAGGCTCCTACAGGGAGTGCTGCCTTTGCCTGGGGGCCAGCTCTTATTTGTCCTGACTGTGAACTCTGCCCCTGGGTGAGGAAATGTTGTCAAAGGCAACCCACACAGTCTTCTCTGACTGGAAATAGTCAGGACAAGTTTCCAGTAAGCTGGGCTTCTGGGTCCAAGGGAACCACCCGATGGTGGGAAGAACCCTGGACCTGTTTGTTCCATCCAAAGACAGACGGAAGAGACTGTCCTGTTAATGTGCTTTCTACTGAAGAAAGACTCACTGAGGAACATGGAGAACTGATGGAAAATGTGCAAAAGGCACAGGAAATGCTCCCGTGAGAGGGCCCAACTACCTCGTTGGTGTGTTTCAAAATGGCACTGCTTCTGGCCTTGACGCTCCGTCTCTGTTCACAAACACAGACATGTGTGTTCTGAAAGTGCAGGAGTGGTTCCCCATTCCATCGCTAGCTGGGCGTGGTGTGATTCTGCCTGGTGGCAATGCTGTGTCTTGTCCTTGCACCTGCTGAGCACAGGTACATGAGAGCAACCCTGGATGTAAAAGTGGCAAGTGAAGGAACTAGGGGGTTCAGCCTCATGATACTCTCACGGGCAGGCCTGCTTTTGTGTCATCTGTCATTGGCCAACACGTCGTGGCACAGTGTGGAGCTGCAACTCCAGCTGTCAGCTCTGCTTGATTCTGATTGGCCCTGCTCAGTAGGGTACTTAGTCAGTAGGGTAGCAACCAGTGAGAGTTCAGTTTCACTCTCCCTGACTTGGGAGCCCCTGTCTGTTCTGGCTCTGAGTCTCTTCAGAGTGAAATTTGATTCACATGGACTCCCGGAGAAGCAGAGGGGAACACAGACCAAAGCCCATTTTTATCCCCAGTGAGTCCTGGCTTGGGCAGAAGTGAGATGATCCATGGCTGCCCTTTCCTAGGAACTGGTGTCCTTGTGTCTTGTGACTCGGGCAGCCCTAGGTGTGTGCCTGGTAAAAGGTATAGACTGTGGGGCCGAATGAGAGCAGAGGGACTAGTGACCCAGCTAGCGTGGGATGGTGCTTGGCTGGGTGTCCCCACCTGTCCCTGGGATGCAGGGTTGCTGTGGGAAGTTGACCTCCTGAGTCAGCAATCTCTTGCCAAATTTTCTAGTTAGAGTCCAGGGGCCCTTGACCCTCTCCTCGCCCCCATTATGTTTGTGAGCTTGGCAAAATGAGCTAAGATGGAACGTGGGAGTGTGTGGTGTTGCAGAAATGCCCTGTGTATGACCGATCGAGCCCTTGTCCTTGCTCTGCTTGCAGTGTGGGCCGGGGACCACAAGCACCTAGGGGGCTGGTTAGAAATGTGGACTCAGTATCTCACTTTCTCCCTCCTTTCTTACCCCAGCTGGGATGTCCTGGTGCAGCATTGGAGTGCCTGGGTATGTTGTGGATTCTTGTTTGTGCTGATGAGCATGCTGGGAGGCAGCAGGTGAAGGCTTGTGGAGTTGGGCCTGTGCCATCCATGTGGGGCACCCGGATTGATTTCCTGGGTTCCAATTTCAGCCTGGCCCAGCCCCAGCTGTGCTAAGAGATGGGAAAGAGGGAGCAGAGAGAAATTCTCCCTTGATCTCTCTCTTTCCCTGCCTTCCAAATACACAAATAGTGTTTTCAAAAGTGTCATGCAATCTTGGTGCCCCAGCCGGCCCTCTGATTCAGAACCTGCATCCTCAACTTATCAAGGGGAGCTGGGCCCTTCAGGGCAGAGTGCCCGGGACCCTGAAACTGTCTGTGTAGTTTCTTGCTTGGTATCCTTCACCACTTCCTGCTGTCTTGTGGCCACAGGAGCGGGCTCCCACACAGCCAGGGTCTGGGCTAAGGGCAGAGTGAGAAGGCACCATGGACTTCAAGACAGGGCGTGCTCTTGTCTGCCATACACGTGGGCTTTCTCACAAAATGCCCGTAGGGCCAAGTGAGGTTGACTGTCCCAAAGAATGGGTGTTTCACCATGAGCAGCACCGGGCCACTGTGTAGCTTCCACATCCTTTTACTCTGCATTTTTCTCAGCAAAACCTATTCTGTTTTGATCTGCAGGAATAGGGTTCTTTGGGGCACATCTCGCTTCCAATTTCAAAGCCATTTGACTTATCCAGGTGCACAGAGACCACAATGTTCAATGATGGAGTTGGGAGAGAGGCTTAGGGGAAACCAAACTAGGGACAAACCCATGAACTCACCACTGGGCATTGCTCTTTGTTCTCAAAGTAAGATTTCTTTCATTTTATTGGAAAGGCAGATTTATAAAGATATGGAGACTTTGAGAAGGTTCTTTTGTTCACTGGTTCACTCCCCACATGGTGTAACAGCTGGAGCTGAGCAGATGGAAGCCAGGAGCCAGGTGTTCCTCCAGGTCTCCCACATGGGTGCAAGGTCCCAAGGCTTTGGGCCATCCTCCAGTGCTTTCCCCAGTGACAAGCAGTGGAGTGGCCCCCACAGGAGCTTGTGCCCACTTGAGATCCCAGCACTTGCAACTGGAGCATTAGCCAACTGAGCCTGTATGCTGGTCCTGTGACTGGCTCTTGATTCTTGAAAAGAAAGCTATTCCCAGGCCTGGCGCAATTGCGCAAGTTGTTAAGGTCCTCGCCTTGCATGCCCAGGATCCCATATGGGTGCCGGTTCTATCCCGGCAGCCCCGCTTCCCTTCCAGCTCCCTGCCTGTGGCCCGGGAAAGCAGTCGTGACGGCCCAAAGCTTTGGGAACCTGCACCCACGAGGGAGACCTGGAGAGGCTCCTGGCTTCGGATCATCCTAGCATCGGCCATTGTGCTCACTTGGGGAGTGAATCATCGGACGGAAGATCTTCCTCTCTGTCTCTCCTCTCTGTATATCCACCTTTCCAATAATAAAAACATAATAAAAATAAACCTTGAAAAAAAAAAAAGAAAGTTATTCCCATTCCTCACCATCCTACAGAGACAGCAGCCTGCCTGTCGCTAGGCTGGGTCCTGGACTAGATGTGGTGGGTGGCTGGCCGTGGGGTGCCTGGCAGGAGCAGGGTGGGCTCCTGGTGTGAGTTGAAGGCTGCTGCCTCCTCGCCCCTTTCAGCCCGAGGCAGTCCCTCAGGTTCCACAGCCCTGATGGGAACTTGATGTTTGTAAGCTTGGAAAATGAGCTAAGATGGAATGTGGACATGTGATGAGAACTGCAGAGCCCATGTGCCAGGCCTCAGCCCCTCCTGCCCCTGGTCCTGGGTCACTGCTGTGTGAGATTAGGTGAGTGTGCTGTGTCACTGGGAACTGGGACAGCATTAAATGACTCAGGCAGCATCATGTTCCCCACCTGCCGCTGTGCACTCGGAAAAGGCAGACATGGAAGGATTCTGACACCCCCAGCACAGCTGGTACAACCTGACCACAATGCCACTAAGTGGAAATCTTCCAGCCTTCCAGTTCTTAGTTGGATTGTCCATATTCCTCCAGCTGACAAGGCCCCGTAGCATCGGTGATGGTGATCATGGTTGCTCTGCTCTTGATGCCTAAGAGTTCAGCCAGGACCTGCGCCATGCCAAGGAGGGTTAAGCCAAGGACCATGATGCTGGCATCCCATATCCCAGCACTTGCTGGGCCTGGCTGCTCCATTTCACAGCCAGCTGCCTGCTCTTGCAGGGAAGGCAGAGGAAGATGGCTCATGTGCCTGGGTCCCTGCCACACAGATGAGAGTCCCACAAGGATTTCCTCCTCTTGTCTTTGACCTGGCCAAGCCCTAACCATTGGGTAGTGAACCATGGATGGAAGATCTCTGTCTCTTTACCTTAGGAATCAAGTTTTATAGTCTGTCTTTAAAATATTTGTCGATTTGAAAGGCAAATATTTTTAAGGATTTTTTATATTGCAATTATCATATTTATAGAGAGATTATAAGACATAAAAATCTTCAATCCACTGGTTCACTCCCAGATGGTCACGATGGCATGAGCTTATGTGACTTAAGCCAAGAGTCATGAGCTTCTTCTTCCATGCTAGCCATGCAGGTGCAGATTCCCAAGACTTAGGACCATCATCTACTTCTTTCCCAGGTCATAAACGGGGAGATGATAGGAGGTGGTGCAGCTTGGATGTGAACCAATGCACTAATGTGTTTCTGGTGCTTGAAGGTTAGGATTTAGCTGTTGAGCCATTGTGTTGGTGCAGATTGCAGATTCACAGAGAGAGAGAGATAGACGGAGAAAGATCTTCCACCAGCTGTCTCACTCACCTAAAGAATGCAATCACCAAAAAAAAAAGAATGCAATAACCAGAAATTAGCTGATCTCAACCAAGAACCAGTAATTTCCTCAGAATCTTCTACATGGGAGCTTTGGCAAAAGACCCATAGTATCTCCACTGCCTTCCCAGAGCTAATCAGGGAACTGATAGGAAGTGGAGCAACTGGCACTCAAACAGGCACACAAATGGGATGCTAGTCACGCAGGCAGAGGCTTTGCATATAAACTACCATGTTGCTGCCCAGTAAGTCTTTTTCTTTCCTTTTGATACAAACCTTGCAATCCTCAAAGCTCAATGGAGACAGAGGGGAGGATTCTGTCACAGTGAAGGAAACAGCAGGAAGAGGTGAGATGTGTTCCCACAGGCACAGCGGGGTTCTGAGCCCCACTCCAGTGAGGGCAGCTCCACCCCACATACCTGTCCTGCTCCTGGGTATGCAGCCAGTGACCAGGGACAACGAGGCACCTGCTGAGAGGCCTAGCCTGGACACTGCTCATGCTCTGTCGAGGTACCCCATATGGGTGGCAGGGTCTAAGCATTGGGCATCTCCCACTGCTCTCCTGGGCTCATTTGAAGGGAAGTGACTAGAAGCAGAGTAACCCTGACTGTATTTGGCATGCTGGTGCTACAGGTGGTAACTAGGCCCACAGCCCCAACCGCCAACATCATGTTTGAATCTGCTCATATCATACTTAAAATCAAGAAGGCATTCCCGAATGCGTGACAGTGCCCGGACATTTCAGAATCCCCACTCCTTTCCCCTGCCTCAGCCCAGACCACTCCTTCCTGCAGAACCTCTGCACTGAAGCCTGGGACCGCCCTGCTTCTCTGTCAGCAGCATCCCGCACTGGCCCTTCTACACGCAACCTTCACTGACCCCTTCACCTGACCTCCTGTACTCCTAACCCGAGCCCCGCCCAGCAGTCACCTCCTCCAGGAAGCCTTCCTACACTGAGCTGGACTGTGCCAAGCAGCTTCCAGACTCTTATCTGAATATCTAACAGCTCAGGTAATGGTCAGTGCCCTGAGGGCCAATTGCTGTGGACCTCTTCATGGGCAGAGTGACCACAGGTTAAGAGGGCTCCTCTGGCACCATGCAGGCTGCAGTGACAACCTAGCTGGTGGGTGTGCACTCTGGTGCAAGCACCAATTTCAGTATCTCGGTTTCCTCATCTATACAATGGACATGCACCAGCTGCTGAGAGGGCTAGCATGTGGTGGCTTTCCTGCAGGAACTCATTTATTGCTCATGTCTTCCCAGTGCCACCTTGTGTATGTCAGGAAAGATCCTGTTCTCTGAAGGGAGTCTTCTCCAAAGGGGATGCTGAGGGACAGCAGCAGTGAAAACCCACCAGAGGATATCCCTGCCATTACACACACACACACACACACACACACACACACACACACACACACACACACACACACACACAATCACACACTCTCTCTCGAATGCAGAAGCAGCTGTGTGGGCTCCAAGGGCTGTGCCTCATGCTGTCAGGGCCAGGAGTCCCTGTGCAGCAGCAGGTGTCAGAGCAGGTGTTTGGGGAGAGAGAAACTGCACCACTCAAATCAGGGTGGCAGTAACAAGCCTTAGGAAAGAAGGATTCCCTCCCATGCCTGGGCCAGAGGCACAGGTAAGCCAAGCTGTCAGCTCAGGCTGCCCTGGCCAACTGCTGATGCTGAGGGTAGAGCCTGGGAGGGTGGTGGTACAGTGGGTTTTAGGCCACAGGCAGCAACAGGCATGTCGGTGTAGGAAGACACAGGGAAGTACCCAGTGCACAGAAGAAAGTTTATTGTTCTCAGGAGACCTAGACACTTCCAGAAGGATCCATCAACAGACTCCCTGTGCAGATGCAGCCACCATGCTCAAGGTCACTGTCACCTTCACAAGGACACAGCAGGGCCTGACACAGCCGGGCACAGCACAGCCTCCTGGGGCAAGGAGGTCTGGCTATACCCTGAGGCCCAAACCACAGCTGTGCTTCCTGCCATCCAGCAGGGAGCTCTAGGCTTGCAAGGGGTTGGTGACTTTGCTCAGAAAGAGGATACTTGGTGGGTTAGTGGAGACGATGGCTACCAGGAAGGGCCGGTCAAAATGCACAGTGAGGCCTTCCAATGCAGAGACTTTAATCATCAAGAATCCAGTGGCGGCAGCTGCTTCAGTGCCGTTCTCAGCCACATCAAGCACAGCCTTGTGGACTGCCTGTTGGGGACATGAGAGTATTGTTCAATGAAGATGGGGTGGGTCACAGGTATCACCTACCTGGCCTTCCCAGAATACAACACAGGGTGCCACCCACCGCTTGCTCCTCCCAGCCCCTGTGTGCTGCCTCGGCACCATCACCATGCACAGAGGGGCTAGCCGTGGGGCAGAGCTGCGAGCAATGTGCCCAGCATCACACAGGTCACTAGAATGTTGTCCTTGATTCAGGCCTGTGTCTGATTCCAGCCCTAACGTCATGATTACATGTCACCACTTCCTGCCTAGAAAGCCAAGAATTATCACCCACAATCCCTCCGCCATCTCACGTGTGGACACTGGATGGGTTAGAGTTGTATTTTGCTCACTGTGAGCAGTTAACTGTGGAGTGTGAGGTGCTCCTTGCAGATGCCTAATACTAAGAACAAACATGCAGCTAGGGCATGTTGTGCCTGGCACAGAGGAACCTTCCTGAGCTTGTAGGGTTCTCAGGGAGTCAGGGTGAATAATGAGATATGTTAGACGGTGGGGCAAAACTACAACTCCCTGAAGGTGCATCAAGCTCAAGGCAGCGGTCAAGGTCAGAGTGAGCCATGGACATCCCGAGCTGTGAGGCTCACCTGGGAGAGCGCCAGGTTCCTGTGCCCTGTGATTCCAGAGAAGTCAGCCTGCGTGGTGAAGGCTTCCCTGACGCCCAGCCTGGGAAGGATGTCTTTCAGGTTGAAGTCACTGGAGATGGAGAACTTGGGCAGTTTGAGTTCTTGAAACCATCTAGGAAAGAAGGGACAGCACAGGAGTGCAACTCAGGCCATGACCTGCCTGCCCCCATCTTGAACCGTAGGCATTCCCAGTCCACACACTCCAAGCCCTCTCACCTTTTCCCATGTTTTACTCTCCCGTGTATCAAATACTGCCCTGATGACTCCATTATCTGTCCTTATCTGTGAGTGTCCACATGGGCATGGAGCCAGGGCTGGGCTTGAGCCATGCCTGAGCCTGGCCTTCCCCTTGTCCCCAGGTCACAGCATACCACGAGATGCCTGTGCCTCAGCAGGGACTCTGCTGTGAGAGACGGAGCCAGAGCAGCCTCTCTGACTGCCCAGCAAGCTGCTGCCTGGGCCATGGTCGGTGTCCTGCAGCAGGAGGAGGACTGGAGGAGTGTCCTAATGGAGGGAAGGAGCCAGCTGAATGAGGGAGAGGGCAGAAAGGCTGGGAAGCAAGAGGGGGATAGTTCAGGCACGGGAGAGGTAGAGGATTCAGCTGTTCATGGCAGGGGGTGGAGAGGGGTGGGAGCTGTTGAGGAGTTCCTTGGTGCTAGGATGGCATTGGGGTCTTGAAAATATCTTCATTCCCAGTTTCCCTTTCGCCTCCCTGGGAGTGTGGCTTCCCAGCTAGGGTGCAGTGTCCAGAGCCTGAAACAGGCTGCCTGCAGAGAGGGCTGTGTCCTCTGGGGGTAAGAGGTGGCATCTCCCACCTGCACTCCTCTCTCACATGGACACTTGTTGTCATCAGCAGGTACTTTGTGCTAGAAGCAAGAGTCTGGGGGTTGTGCTGGTAAATAAATGGGAAGGGGAGGAATCCGGTTAAGGGGTGTCCTGAGGAACGAGATGAGGGGCCCATACAAAAGTTGGGATGGGGCTGAAGGCTCCAGTGATTGTCACATGATGTCTTCTCTTGAGATGAGCAAATAACTTCCACATCCATGACACCCCAGATGCCCAGAATGAGCCTAGAAGAACAGAGGCATGGGAGGACCTGTTCCCATGCAGTAGGAGGCTGCACCATTTGGAGAAGCAGAGTGAAGGCCTGGGACAGAGCCTTGGGTATGGCCCTACAAGTCTCATGACTACAAGACTCATGACTGAACCCCACACAGCTGCCCAGGACCCACCACTGAGAGGTGTGGTACAAGCAGTCAGCTCATGTCTCCTCCCACAGAAGTATCTAGAATTCTCCCTTCATGGCCTTCCCTGAGGACAACCTCCAGAGACTGTCCAGACACTGGAAGTGCAAGGCTGCTCTCCCCACCTCGAGCTACCCCTGCAGCATGAGCTCCTAGCGGCCAGGCTACCTCCTGTGGCTCTCCTCACTCTGGTGGAGCTCCATAGGACAGCACACATTATGTCTTATTTGCCAATAGGTCCTCAGCATCCCAGTTAGCATCAATGAAGCAGTAGGTACTCTGTTATCCACTCAACAGATGCTGAATGAATGAATGAATGAATGAATGAGTGCTTTTGGTGGCTGGTACAGAGCTCCAGAGCCTGTCTCTCCTCCCCCTTGGTGTAGAGTCCTCCCGTCTCTCTCAGCCGAGCTCAACCATCCAGAGAGCTGAGTGTTGTGTTCAAGGTTCCCCATGACTCAGAGCACACTGGAGCCAGAGGAGGCCCTGCACAGTCTGATGTCATCCTATTTGGAATGACTACGTTTGGGGAGTGAACCAGTGGCTAGACTATCTCGCACCTTTGAGAGCTTGGAACTCAGACAGCTCTCCAGGTGGGTGGCAGAGATGTGGTGACTTGAGGCATCACCTGCTGTACCCCAGGCTGTGCATCGGCAGCAAGCAGGATCAGAAATGGAACTGGGACTGGAAGCCAGACACCCTGATGGAGGCTGATGGACCCCACATCCATGCCAAATGCTCACACCTCGACACAAAGCCACTGGGCAGCATCATTATCCCAGGATCTCTTGCCTCTGTGCCTCCATACCCAGCCATGACTGAGACCAAGGCATGAATCAGCATAGCATTGGCTAGAGCAGAGGTGGTCATTCAGAGCTCTGCCTCCTGAGGATACTCACTCAGTCTGCACCGAGTCTCTCCAGCGCTTCAGGGTCGCCAGCGAGAGGCTGGCTTCCACCTCCTGCATTTTGTCCTCATCCGGGAGGATGAAGAAGGCGCTGGCGTTGCCCACATAGTTGAGCTGCACCACAGTGCAGGAGAGCTCGTCATCACGGAAGTAGGGTGTTTTCAAGTGCCTGATGGTCATCATGGGAACGTCTACCCACTTGTCCTTCTTCAAGTAGAACTTGGACGGGGTGGTGCTTAGAGGGTTGAATGGTGTTTCCCATTTGGCTAAAAGTAGAGCAAACATGAGAGGCCAGGTGAGTGCCAGGGTCACACTACCAGGAGTTAGCTCTGCCCATCATGCCCAAATGAAATGGTGACTGAATCCATCCACTCAGCAAGCACCAGCCAGAGGAACTATCTGGACAAGGAGAAAATTTGAGTATGTGTGAAGGAAAAACATACATGTGCGAGTAGACAGTGAAATGCAATAGAGACCTGGGCACTTGGCTAGCTGAAGAATCCATAGGAATATTGCAACAGGTTGCAAGGGAAAGGCAAAGGTTGGCATAAATGGGTGAGAGGGGCACACGGGCCTGCGGTTGCCTGGAGCCTGGATGGAATGGGATGTTCCTGGCTCCGTGGAGAGAACAGCATCTAGCATCGTTGGCATTGCAGGGTGGGGCCTTCTGAAAGTGGCCTGCAAGTCCTCTGAGTGCAAATGCAGGAAAGAAGCTAAGCTCCCCATGGGGCAGGGTCAGACAGAGGAGAACATGCAGCTGCAGAAGCCCCTAGAAGAAGGAAATCAGAGTGGGAGTGACCATGAGAATGGAAACTCACAGACACATGGGTCATCTTAGCAGGTGGGACACTGGGTGTGCCCAAGCAAGGGTGTAAGAAATGCCAGCTGTGGGACCTCAGCTCCTGCCCGAGATGCATGCACGTCAAGGGACTGTGAAAGACCAGCTGAGACCTGCCACAGATCCTGTAGCTGAGGTGCCCGGCCCCTGTCTCCCATCCCAGGCACCGGGCATTGGGATGCTTTCTTGGACTCAGGAAGCAGCAACTCTGACTATGCCTCCAGCTGGTATGCGTAGGCTTGCCTGGCCACTGTTCTGACGTATCTCTACTGCGTGGGAGCACATTTGTCAGGGTAGGCTTCTTGAGGATGTCTTCCCCGGTGACATTGGCTCTTGCCCTGCCAGGATGCTCTGCAGACAAAGGTGTCCCATGCTGGGCAGAGCCCATCCGGCCTGTGGGAGCCAGAGATGCACAAGTACATTGGGCCAGGGGTGTCAGGCATGTGTCTACTGAACTGCCAAGGAGGAGCTGGCTGCTACTGCCTGCCCTGGAGGGCCTTAGGGAGCATTTTCCTGGTGCTCCATTCAGAACACAGCACCCTACTTTGCTTCAATAGTGTCCTGGCAACCTCAACTGCAGTGGGTCAGAGCAGGCGCCAATTCCATGGCTCCAGGACCTATGCTTGGGCAGGTGCACTCTAGGCTTCTGATACTAGTACAGCTGGACACCAGAAGGCAGTAAGAGAGAACTCTGTAACCCTGTACAGTCAGAATCCAACGTCTGAGCAGCTTAGCACCCCGAGGTGAGCACTCACCTTTGAACAAGAGGAAATTCACCAGGACCATCACTGTGTCTGAGTCAAGGCTGTCAAACAGGTCCATGATTTTGCCCTGGGTTTTCTCAGCCACATGGTCATTGATGAACTTCTTGGCAGTGGCCGTGTCCTGGAAGTTGGTGTCAAAGGCCTCGGCAGCATACAGCTCCTGGGCGCCCTTCTCGAAGTCCGGAAGCAGCTTCAAGCCAACAAAGAGCGCATTGCCCAGGTTGAGCTGCAGCTGCTCTTGGGGCTGGCGCAGGGTGAGCAGGAGCTGCTGGAAGCCCTGGTGGATTTCCTTCTCGGGCAGCTCAGTGAGGTTGAACTTGAGGCCTTGGAGGAGCTCCGTGAGTGTGGAGTCACGGGCCCCCAGGGCCAGGAAGGCCAGGGCAGTGGAGATGCTCAGTGGGGAGAAGATGATGTTCTTGTCCTGGTTCAGCAAGGCCAGCTGCTTGTAGAGGCTGCAGGCAAAGTCAGCATTGCTGGAGACCAGCCCCACCAGGCGTGTCGCATCAGCTGTGTCCTCCCGGCGGGCATCCTGAGGGACAGCTGTGGCCACTGGGTGGCAGAGGACAGCTGGGCAGAGCGTGGCCACGAGGAGCCCCAGCAGCAGGAGGGCTGACATTGTGTCTGCTCTGAACTCTGCAAAGCAACAAAACAGCTTCATGTTTCTAGTGCAGGAGGTGCCAGTGTGCCTCTTGCTGCCTTCTTCCCACACCCACACCCCACCATCCGGCCAGTGCATGGGTCCCCACCCCTTGTGACTTCGTAATTCCCTAGGCGAGATGTCTGTCTGGGGAACTGAGAGACATGGTTATATTTGGTTTTCCCCACCCCTTTGATGTGCTTGTGCTGTGATTGTGGCCATTTCTCCTTGATCCAGAAACTGAGCATACAGAAAGGACCAGGCTTGCTCAAGCTGAGGCTGCTTACGCGACAAGGAATCATGGATAGCAGTGATGGTTGCCACTGGCTCTGAAGTCCCAAAGTTGTGAGGTTGAGTGTCATGTCCTCCTCTCTCCCGCATGGTCAGGGATGCCCCTTTCTTTAAGTCTCTCCATTTCTCCACACCACCCATTATCCTTGCTAACTTTGGTCGAAGAGAAAGTGGATGCACTGAACCCACCGTGGTACCTCTCCCAGCTCTAGTCAACTGGTCATGTGGTGCTGGACAGACCATCCCAGGGAGGTACCCTGGGCCAGTCTGGTTTCTTCACAGAAAACCCAGAAGGCAGCTGAGTGTCCCTGATCCAGGCTGGCAGACAGTTCTTACAGCCCCCAACTGGTTCCTTGGCTGCTGTGACACCTCCTTATGCAAGCCCTCACCCTGATACAGGACATTACAGTGAGTTGTCAGTCTCACTGCAGAAAGAGGAAGAAAATGGCAGGAGAGCTGGTGGTTTTCAGGGCTGCCTCTGCCTGGAGGCCAGGAGGACCATCGCTCAGGACAGGGCAGCTCCTGGTCCAGCTGCTTCTCTATAAGCAGGTTGATGTGACCACGTCTTTGGAAAGGTGTAGCACACTCAGTGGCAGCCCCAGGACTGTCTCTTGCCACCAGCTCTGGGCCCTGAACCTGGTTCCTCAATTCCTGTGCCATCGCTCTCAGGACATAAGCCCAGAGTCACAGCCTAGAACCCCAACAGCCCCCAAATCCCAGGGAGACTCACCTGCTCTGGGCCCACAGCACTGAGAGAGGCTCCTACAGGGAGTGCTGCCTTTGCCTGGGGGCCAGCTCTTATTTGTCCTGACTGTGAACTCTGCCCCTGGGTGAGGAAATGTTGTCAAAGGCAACCCACACAGTCTTCTCTGACTGGAAATAGTCAGGACAAGTTTCCAGTAAGCTGGGCTTCTGGGTCCAAGGGAACCACCCGATGGTGGGAAGAACCCTGGACCTGTTTGTCCCATTCAAAGAAAGACGGACGGAAGAGACTGTCCTGTTAATGTGCTTTCTACTGAAGAAAGACTCACTGAGGAACATGGAGAACTGATGGAAAATGTGCAAAAGGCACAGGAAATGCTCCCGTGAGAGGGCCCAACTACCTCGTTGGTGTGTTTCAAAATGGCACTGCTTCTGGCCTTGACGCTCCGTCTCTGTTCACAAACACAGACATGTGTGTTCTGAAAGTGCAGGAGTGGTTCCCCATTCCTAGCTGGGCGTGGTGTGATTCTGCCTGGTGGCAATGCTGTGTCTTGTCCTTGCACCTGCTGAGCACAGGTACATGAGAGCAACCCTGGATGTAAAAGTGGCAAGTGAAGGGACTAGGGGGGTTCAGCCTCATGATACTCTCACGGGCAGGCCTGCTTTTGTGTCATCTGTCATTGGCCAACACGTCGTGGCAGTGTGGAGCTGCAACTCCAGCTGTCAGCTCTGCTTGATTCTGATTGGCCCCGCTCAGTAGGGTACTTAGTCAGTAGGGCAGCAACCAGTGAGAGTTCAGTTTCACTCTCCCTGACTTGGGAGCCCCTGTCTGTTCTGGCTCTGAGTCTCTTCAGAGTGAAATTTGATTCACATGGACTCCCGGAGAAGCAGAGGGGAACACAGACCAAAGCCCATTTTTATCCCCAGTGAGTCCTGGCTTGGGCAGAAGTGAGATGATCCATGGCTGCCCTTCCTAGGAACTGGTGTGCTTGTGTCTTGTGACTCGGGCAGCCCTAGGTGTGTGCCTGGTAGAAGGTATAGACTGTGGGGCCGAATGAGAGCAGAGGGACTAGTGACCCAGCTAGCGTGGGATGGTGCTTGGCTGGGTGTCCCCACCTGTCCCTGGGATGCAGGGTTGCTGCGGGAAGTTGACCTCCTGAGTCAGCAATCTCTTGCCAAATTTTCTAGTCAGAGTCCACGGACCTTGACCGTCTGCTCGTCGCCATTATGTTTGTGAGCTTGGCAAAATGAGCTAAGATGGAACGTGGGAGTGTGTGGTGTTGCGGAAATGCCCTGTGTATGACCGATCGAGCCCTTGTCCTTGCTCTGCTTGCAGTGTGGGCCAGGGACCACAAGCACCTGGGGGGCTGGTTAGAAATGTGGACTCAGTATCCCACTTTCTCCCTCCTTTCTCACCCCAGCTGGGATGTCCTGGTGCAGCATTGGAGTGCCTGGGTATGTTGTGGATTCTTGTTTGTGCTGATGAGCATGCTGGGAGACAGCAGGTGAAGGCTTGTGGAGTTGGGCCTGTGCCACCCATGTAGGGGAACTGGATGGTAGATTCTGATTGGTCCTCTCAGTAGGATACTTAGTAAGTAGGGCAGCTGACCAGTGAGAGTTTGGTTTCACCCTCCCCGACTTAGTGTCCCCTGACTTTTCAGGTTCTGAGTGTTTTCAGAGTGGATTATGCTTTTCATTCACATGGACTCCTGGAGAAACAGGAGACCAAGCTCACAGACCAAAGCACTTCCGTCTCTGATGAATCCATGTATAGGTGGCAGGTTATGAGTGAACCTACCTTGACTACCCTGTGCCAGAAGCTAGCCTCCATCTGCGTGGTGGCTCAGCCACCCCAGTTGGGTGCCTGGTGGAAGGCAGTGGGCTGAGGGTCTGAATGAGTACAGAGGGACTAGTGACCCAGCTCGTGTGGGATGGCGCTAGCTGAGCATCCAGCTGTCCCTCATGCTTGGACTGCTGGTTGCTGTGGCTGGGAACCTCGAGACTCGGTAATCTATTTCCATTACTTTTTCTGCAGTGCCTATGGGACCACCGTTCCCCCCACCCCCACCCATCGTGTTGCTGAGACCAGAAAGGAAGCAGGAAGAAACTCGGGAGTGTGTGGTGTTGCAGAAATGCCCTTAGCATGAGAAAGAGAGCTTTGCCCTTTTCCTTGCTCTACTCACAGTGTCAGCCAGGGACACAAGCACCTGGGGATGATGGTGAGGAAGGCAAACACATGGCCCACTGTCACCCTCCTTTCTATCACCCAGCTGGGATGTCTTGTCCAACATCAGTGTACGTGGGTCTGGTCTCCAATCTGCATTCTCTTTTCTGTTGATGCTCATCCTGGGAGGCAGCAGGTGAGGTTCTAGGACTTGGGCCTCTGCCACTCATGGGGAGACCCGGATGAAGTAGCTGGGTTCTGTTCTCAGTGACTGCAACAGGTAGGGCAAGAGCCAGTGGGTGGAAGAGCTCTCTAGACCTCTGTCTCCCTGCCTCCTAAACACAGAAGGAGTATTTTTAAAAAGTAATGAAACATCTTTTGGCTCCACCCAGGCCCTCTATTTCAGATTCTGCATCCTCAGTGCATCCCCAGGGGAGTCGGGTCCTTCAAGCAGAGTGCCCAGGGCCCTGCACCCGTCTGTGTGTGGTTTCTTCCTTGGCACCCCTCCTTACTTCCTGCTGTCTGGATGCTGCAGCAGGAGGTGGACTAGAATCAGTTTTTCCCCTACACATCCAGAGCCTGGGACAAGAGTGGAGTTTAGGAGGAGCCATGGACTGCAAAGCTGTGCCAGCTTTTCTTCTGCCATGTGTGTGGGCTTTGTGACATCTCTGCCTTTCCTTGGCCTTCCTGTGTTCCACAGATGTTTATTGGTAAGTCCTACACCGATGCTATTTCTTTCTCTCCAACTCTCCTGTGAACCACTCCTCCCTGTGGGGGCAGCTTTCCCTCTCCTGTCCCCCAGAACTCAAGCTTGTCTCTTGGTCAGAGCTGCCTGCACCTGCACCGTGCCTCCCCAGCCCAGGCTCCCTGTGGCAGTGCCCTCCGGTTGCCCCATAATACGCATCTGCCCCATTGCCCTCACCAGCTCCCCTTCATTGTCTCTTTCATCCTTCCGTGGTTTATTCATTTGAAAGGCAGAATCACACACACACACACACACACACACACACACACACAACACACACACACACACACAAAAAAAAAACCCCTTCCATCTTCTGACTGAATTCTGCAAAGGCTTCCATGGCAGGAAAGCTGAATCCATGAGCCTGCACCTCTGCCGTGATGTGCCACATGAGTGACAGGGACCAAGAACTGGGGTGCCTCCAGGTGCTCTCTTCAGCTGATTGGAAGGGTATGGATTGAAAACAGAGCAGCTGAACTCCATATGGGATAGGTGCTGCAGGTGCTGCCTTGGCCCATGGCCCCACCTGCTAACCTTGAGAGTGTGAATCTGCTCGCACCATTCTTACACTCAGGGAGCCTTTCCCCTGTGCTTATCAGGGTCCAGGCATTCCAGCACCTCTCTTTTCTCCTGCCCCAACCCAGACCCCTCTTTCCCACAGACCCTGTCCCGTGAACCCTGAGGCCACCCAGCTTCTCTCTATCCTCTCTGAACACTGCCCTGTCCCTTCTGCCTGCAACATTCACCAACTCCTTCACCTGACCCCTTTCTGTTCCTCTCCTGAGCACAGCCCAGCAGTCAGCTCCTCCAGGAAGCCTTCCTACACTGAGCTGGGCTAGCCAAGCAGCTTCCAGAGCCTCATCTCAGATCTAACAGCTCAGGTAATGGTCAGTGCCCTGCGGGCCAATTGCTGTGGACCTCTTCAGGGGCAGAGTGACCATGGGGTTAAGAGGGCTCCTGTGGTACCATGCAGGCTGCAGTGACAACCTAGCTGGTGGGTGTGCAGCCTGGGAAAAGAGCAAGTTCACTACTCGGTTTCTTCATCTCTACAAAGGGCTAATTAAAACAGGCACCAGC